CTTATGCTATTAAGTATATGCTCTCCAAGTTCTTCCTCATGCCCGTGAAGGATGAAGGGGACCCAGATTATCGACAAAAGGAAGAAATGCGCAGTGTTGTTAACGACCAAAAAAAAGAAACTTCCACTACTGAGAAGACGGAACAATCCTTAACTGAAATGCGGAGCATTACCGAAGGTCAAATGCAGAGCATTGTCGGAGACCAATTAGCCAAGCAAACCAATCCTGCTGCTATTATTAGCATGCAACAGGTGGAAGACCTGACCAACTTATTACGCCAAAAAAATAAGGCGGATAAAGACAACCAAGCCAAATTTTTTACCGAGTTAGATGACAAGTTAGCTCAGCGAGGAATAGAAGGAACTACTAATGTGGGCAACTTCCGAGCCAGGTTGGCCACTTTAACCCCTGTTGATTATCAATATTTGTATAATTGACTGGTGAAACTTGAAGTAAAAAAATAATCTCACCTTTAATCTACAAAAAAACAAACAACAGAACTTTTTAAAACAATTTCCGCTAACTAGTAATAATAATTAGTCCCTCAACCTTGCCAGTTTTAATAATTGCTCTCTCTCTCTCTCTCTCTCTCTCTCTCTGTTGTGTCAATATCAATAAGAAGAAACATAACGTAATTGAAAATAAGCCTTCAATTTTTTAATAATAAGAAGTAAAAAATAAGAACTCGAAAGTAAGTTGGGGATGATAGATTTTTTTCGATATGAGTTTCAACCCTGACGAATATGAAGATATAATAAAATCCTATAAAAATAGAGACTGAAATAGGCTGACAATTTTGCTGAAAAATTCTGACCCTGAATCTATTGCAGCTGCGGAAAAATATTTAGGAGTTAGGTTAGAGTTTACCCCTAGCAAAGAAATTATTCGTCCCATTCGAACGGGGATAGGTCAAGGCAAAATGAAGCCTTTTTCCACTAAGCATACTCTCAAATTTTATGACAAAAAAATTCGGCAAACCAAAGACCCAGAAAAGAAAAAAATTTGGCAGGCTTACCGAGCCACCAAGTTTGCCGAAATCAGAAAAGAAAAAGCCGAACAAAGAAAGGTAAAGACTGAGCAAAAAATAATAGCCAAAACTGAAAGACAAATTAAAAACTTAAAAACTAAAAAAGCTAGTTTAAAAAGATCTTTTCACCGCTTAACTAAATTACCTTATAAATCTACTCTTTCTGGCAAAAAATACAAATATAAAGGTGGTTATATAAAAGCTTTAGAAAAAGAAATTAAATATTTAAAATCCTTAAATACTCTGGCTCGGCTTTCTACTACTCCCAAATCACGGTCTGGTCGCTATCCAAAAAATTGAAAATACGGAATAGTCTTAAAATCTGGGGAATTTAAAAAAGCGGGCTTAACTAAGCAAGAAGGAACTAAACCCATTTTATCACTGCCACGCAGTCTATTTGGTGAATTAAAAAGCAATGTTGGCACTACCTTAGCTAAAGAAGTAAGAAAAAGAGGAGGCAAGAAAAAAAAGAAGAAATAATGACAATAATATTAGCAGAATTAAAGAAATTTAGGAAAATATAAAAATTTATGAAAGACAAAACTCAAAAACAAATAGAAAAAGAAAATATTAGAACAGTAATGCAGGCTCTTCATGGCTGTAAGAAAAATTGTCCTGAATGCCAGGAGGACGAAGAAGAAAATGATGAATAAAGAAAAAATAATCGGAGGTAATTCCATTCTTAATTCCCAACAACAACTAATCAAAAAATTAGTCAGCCAAGGACAAAACGTTTGCTTTACGGGACCTGCAGGAACCGGCAAAAGTTTTCTCTTACGGGAACTAATTACCCTCTGTCAGACCAAATACGGTAAAAATAAAGTAGGTATTACGGCTACTACTGGCACTGGGGCAGCGGTCATTGGTGGCACTACTTTGGCTTCTTATTTCGGGCTAAGAGCAGATAGCCATTTAGAACCCGAAATTGTTTTAAAAAGAATTCTTACTTCCCGCTCCGCTTACGCCCGCCAAAACTGAAAAAGATGTAAGGTGTTAATTATTGATGAAATCAGCATGCTAGACGGGCAATTATTTGATAAATTAGAATGATTAGCCCGGGAAATAAGAATGAATAACTGACCTTTTGGTAAGATACAATTAATTTTAGTCGGTGATTTTTGCCAATTACCGCCCATTGGGACAGATGCTATTTACTGCTTCCAATCCCAGTCGTGAAATAAATGTATCACCCAAACTGTCAATCTGACCCAAGTTTATCGACAAAAAGAGGAATGATTTATTAACTATTTAACTAACATTCGTTTGGGTCGCTTGTCCGCGACCGGTTGAACTCACTTAGTGCGAAACCAACAAAAAGAACCTAATTGACCGCAAGACGGTATTAAACCGCTGAGTTTATTCGCTACTAAAAACGAAGTAAATGGTATTAACGAACAAGAATTGAATAAATTAGAGGGTAAATCTTATTTCTTTACCGCCAAAGACTGGGAAAAAGAACCCGGACAACTAACTGAACTAACCAAAAACTGTTTAGCTGCTGAGCAATTAGAACTAAAAATAGGAACCCAAGTCATGCTAATTTTTAACTGACACGAAGTTAAATTAGTCAATGGTAGTCAAGGGGTAGTAATTGGCTTTACTAATCATAATCAGCCTTATCCACTAGTGAAATTTACTAATGGTAAGGAATTAGTAATTAAAGAACACACCTGAGAAAAAATTGTCGGTTACGACAAATTCAGTGAACCAATTATTACTGCTACTCGCACCCAAATTCCGTTAATTCTTGCTTGGGCGATGACTATTCATAAAAGCCAAGGGCAAACTTTACAAAGATTGAAAGTAGATTTAAGCAAATGTTTTATGGTCGGTCAGGTTTATACGGCTCTTTCCCGGGCTTCGGATCCGAAATATTTACAAATAATCAAATTTCCTTATAATCGGTTATGATGTAGCGGGAAAGTGAAAGAGTATTATGAAGAATTAAACACAGCAAAGAAATAGCAAAAAAACTAGTATTTTTTGGTTGTCTTGGGTATGCTTGGCTTGGTAAATTTTCTTTTTTTACCAAAAATCAACCAAGAACACTCCATCCTCTTTTAGGGGGATGAATTGGCATAAATACATTAATACTTAGTTGAATAATTATGGTACATCTAACCAAAACTTATCAAGGCAACTTAAAACCCAATTCAGAAACTAAAAAGCAACTCCAATTCATTTCGAAAGGCTGTAATGAAGTATATAACCATTTTCTTAAAAAACGAATAAAAGCCGATAAGAAAAATAAACCTCAACCAACATCAAAGGAACAACAAAAGGATTTAGTTAAATTAAAGAAAAAGTATTACCTTCTCTGCCTCAGGAAAGAGAAAGCATGACTACTTTTTACGAACGGCAAATAAACTCTTTGCGAGAAGAGTTAACCACAATTGAAGAAGAGTTGGAAATTGAAAGAGAGGAAGTGTCCAAGTTTCAAGAAAAATCTGAAGAGTGAAGCAAAAGACAAAAACAAGAACTTTTGGGTAGAATAAAAGAGTTAGAGGCAGAGAATGAGAGATTAAAAGAGTTAGCTCCTCTAGAATTATTGGATGAGATAAGTAAACTAAAAGAAAGAGTTAAACAGTTAGAGAAACAAAATAACCAACTCACTTCTCAAATTGAAGTCAAAGAAGTTAAAAAATGACCTTGGAGGCTAAAAAAATAGTGAATGGCATATCCTTATTGTTCTAATAAAAACTGCCATCTCCCTAACCCTCAAACTCTCAAAGAATTACATAAAGAAGTAAAATGGAAAAAATTAGCTGAGGCTTACAAAGTAAGTGAACACACTATTTATCGACATGCCAAAATCTCTAATAGGAGGCTAAAAAGAGGTCGTAAAGGAAAAATAGGTGGTAAAGTTCGCGACTTACTACTCTTCTCCTTCACTGCTTATCGTTCCAAAGATAACACTTTAACTCAACAAGAGATGGCTAATCGTGTTTATGATAAAGAAAAAATCATGGTTAGCCAACAAACTGTTTCTCGATTTTTGGCTAAAAGAAAAAGAACTCATAAGAAAATCACTCCTCGCTATCAAGAACAATAACATTAGCGAGGTTAAACAATTTAGAGAGACTATTGAATCTCCTCGTTATGGTTTATGCTCCTATTGGTCAGGATGCTATTTCTCCTGCCCCTGGTAGTAAAGGGGGAAGTTATTCTTTGATTATCTGAGTTAAGAATAAAAAAGAGAAAGGGATGGTTCATTGAAAACTAACTGATGAAAAGGTTAATACCGAAGTTTTTTATAATTTCCTTGATAAGGTTAAAGTTTTGGGTGAAAATGGATAATGCTTCCTTTCACCGAGCACCTGAGAAAAGAAAGGAACTGGGTCTGCCTAGTGTAGAGGAACAATTATCTTTAAAAAATTCTCAACTATTTTCTTTGCCTGCTCGTTCCCCTCAACTTAATCCTGTCGAACTAATCATTAATGTTCTTCGCCATAACATTGAAAAGTCTCGCTCTTGAACTACTAAAAACTGAGAGACTCAATTGACAGGGAAATGAAAAGGTTGAATAAAGAAGACTTAAACAAGTTTTTTAAAAAATCTTTACAAGACAATTTAATAAAATTGATTAATGAGGCTGATGAAGTAATAGAAATTTCTTGAGAAGACTGAGCAGAATTAAAAAGAATAACTATTGAAATGAATGAGTTAGCAAGTAAAATTATGCACCATCGTGAATTTGAAGTAATTGGTGAAATTTTGTTAGTAATGGATGATGTAGAAAGGTATCAAGAATGAAATAAAAAACCTGACACTAATTTTGAGTAGGGTTATACCAGCAAAAGATGTTCCAATTTTGAATGTGGAGAAATTAATGAGAAACTAAAAGATGAAGAAATATTTGTTTGCCCTAGTTGTGGATATACAGAAGACCGAGATATTAATGCAGCTAGGAATATTCTGTGAAAAGCACAGAAAAAATTAAAAATAGGAGAATTTTGCTCCAAAAGGCTAGAAACTTCGCTGGCTGAGTCAGTATAGCCTTGTTATGTTAATTACGTAATTAATTTCGCAGTTAATCGCTACGAAACCCCCATCCTCAAACTCACAAGAGTTAGGTAGGGGTAGTTCATTTGGTTTGACTATGCTTGATAAGATTTTTTTATATGATTTATCAGTGTTTAACAAAATTAACATTACACTACATATAAACAATTAACATATAAAATAATACATATGAACCAAAAAACAAAAATCGCTCCCCAAAAGCCAGTAAATGCCCTAGTAGAAATTAGTAATCCCTTAGAGCCGACCACTTCCAGTAGCAATTTTCTCGAAACCGCCCGAAATTTACCAACTAGTAGCAAAATTGCTATCAGTGCAACAGTAGGATTAATAGTAATCTGTTTACTTAGTGCTGTTTGTTATGGTTGTTATCGTCCCCGTCGTCGCCGAATAGTAGTAAGAAGAAACGAAGAAATAGAATTAGCCTATCGGATTTCCCCACCTTCACCAGTAAGACAAAGAAGATAAAAAAAAGAATTACCAAAAAAGAATGAATTGAAATTTAAACGAAGATACTACTAAAAAAATATTGTGAAGTCTAATGGTTATTTCTCTTGGCTTAGGTATTTTGTCTGCTGGTTATTTCATCTATAAATTTAATTGTCAGCCCTATCGCCGTGAAGAGAGAATAGATTTTGTTCCATTGGAAACAGTAGAGCCAACCGAAACTTTTGAAGAGCCTGCCACAACTAATTCAACCACGGCTAGCACTGAATAATTTTTTTAAGTAAGTATGATGAAAAATGATATTTTAAAAGCTTCGGACTGACTAAATGAAGTCATTCCCTTAACCGAAAGATCCAGTATTAAAGATTTATTAATTTCTTACCAAACTACTGAACCCATTTCAATTTTTAACCAAGCCAGCGGCTGAGTTTCTTTAAATAATGTTAGAAAGTATTATCTGACCGAAATTTCTCTGGTTGGGGATTTAGAATTGTCTGATTTTACTAATTTAGAAAAGTTGGTAATAGAAAAACAAGCAGTAATTAATTTAAATTTGGCTAATTGTTCGCAACTAAAACACTTGCGAATTACCAATTGTTTTTTAGAAAATATAACTTTACCCGAACAAGCACCCCAATTAGAATATATTGACTTATCTGATAATGATTTAGTGAGCCAAAATTTAAGTTGCTTCGCTAACTTTTCTAATTTGGTGGTTTTGCGTTTAGGAGTGCGGTCAGGACAGTGGCAAGAAAAATGAACTTCTGGCCAACATTATAATCGCTGAGAAGGTTCTTTATCTTTTTTACAGAATTTAAGTAAATTACAAGTCTTAGACATTAACGCTACTAATATTGATAGTGGTTGCGAATATTTACCAACTAATTTACTTAGTTTTACTTTCGGTAGTAAAGGTAAAGACCAGGATGGCCGACAACACGGACGTTACCAAGTTGAACGAGTTAAGAGGGCAAGAGTAAATGAAGTAAAAGATAAATTAGCTCCATTTTTAGCACTAAAAGAGGGGGAAACCATGGAGGATTTAGCCGTTAGCGAAAATTGGGCTGATAACCAAAGAAAAATGGAGGCAGTTCGAAGGTTTAAACAAAACCAAGTCAGCCAAATCCAAGTAAATCCTAATCGAAACTAGCAAATATTTACGAAATTCTAACTATTATTTATACACTCCGCAATTTTAATTTTAATAGGATAAGTGAGGAGTAGTTAAAAAAGTTTTTAATTCATTTCCGCCTCAATCTCATAATCCACTAATAAATTAGTACCATTATTTCCTTCTTCCACGGTAAAATTAATGGCTTGACCTTCTTTTAGTCAGTTTCATTTTTCGGAGTTAACTTTACCAGAGAAGACAAAAATACTCTCGCCATTATCCAACTCTAAGATAAGGTAATTATTACTATTTCTATCCAAGAGTTCTTTTTTTGGTTAATAGTTGATTTGATAGTGCGAGTAAGGTTCATTTAATTTATTTTTTCTGACTAATTGCTTCTTTTAAACCTAAACTAAACTTACACTTGGGAACTCTTTTCGCGGGAACTTTCATCTTCTTGCCAGTTTGTAAGTTCATAGCCAGGCGGGGAGTAGTCATCGTAGTTTTTAAAGTGAAATAACCTTGTAAACGGACTTCTTCACCCTTTATTAAAGATTTTTTGGTTTCTTCTAACAATTCTTCAATTATTCTGCTTACTTGATTTTGCGGATACTTAGTTTTTTTAGTTATTCTTTCGGTTAATTGTTTTTTACCAGTGATAGTGGATTTTGGCATATATTATTTATTTTTCTAAACAAGGACAGTCTATTCGGTAATAATTTACTTTGCTTTCGGGGTCAGTGTAGTCAATAACCATTTTTTTTATTTCTTTTATCGCATTTTCATTTTTTAATTTTAAGAGAAAAACATTACGCTTTGGCTGACCGTAAGAGACTTTTTTTAACTCACGATTAACCTCTACTCTTTGTTTAGCCATTACACGGGCAGGCATTTCTATTAAAAGGATAAATTTCATAAACTTATACATTTTTCTTTTGTAATGCTTCAAAAAAATACAAGTCTCATAATTTACCAGCAAAATTACTACACTTATCACATAATTCTCCTTTTCTTTTGTATTCTTTTAGTAAATAGTAGTAAGTAGTATAATAGCCCAAAGAGTAGCCTTTTTTGCCGATAATTTGCTTGTAATAAATTTCTTGGAGGATGGAATTTAAGTGGCAACAGTGTTTTTCGTTTTCATTCATATAATATATTTTAATACATAGCATATTCAAGTATAGTCAAGTTAAGAAATAGTAAAGCACACACCTGAGTGGGTTTAACTATAAAATATAATATATAAATGATTTATATGTAGGGTGAAAAGATAAAAATAAAAAAAATCATGATAATTCTCCAAAGTATATTTTCGCGAAAAGCAAGACAAAAACTAATCAAGTTGGTTGCCGAAGCAGAAATAAAATCTCCACACCAAATGAAAAAATTTCAACATCTTTTTGATATCTTTGCTCTTTTTATCGTATTAACTTTGGTGGCTGCTAGCATTCATTTTATTTACCAAAGATATTCGTTATGAATATTCTTAATTATTGGCTCAGTTCACATTTTATTAATTTTGCTGGCGGCGGAATTAACCCTGAGAAAGATTATAAAAAAACCTGGAGTGTAATCTCCTTAAACTAAGAAAGAGTTGATTTTATAATTGACAAAAAAAAGTCCAATTAGTCAGAGTTTGTCAGTGTGTTCGTTTATTTATATCGTGGCACTGGTTTTTGCTCCGCTATTGGCAAATAAATGTAAGCAAAAAAAAGTAATAAATAATATGACAAGTAATAATAAATATAAAAAATGAGAAGATTTTATTGATGGCACAGGGGGTTGGAAAACCCGAACTAGTGCCATAGTAGGTAAAGAAATTGACCACACTTTTAAAAAAGACGAAAAGAAATTAAAAGATTTTTCTTTTAGTGGTGAAGTAGTAACTGCTGATGCTGGTGAAAAAGTTAAAGTGAATGATTTTAAACTTCTGCTGGCGGAAAGAGAAAAATTGATTACTGATTTAGAGACCAAGAAAAAAGAATTAAAAGAAAAAGGTGGCTATACTGAAACCTATGAAGATTTAGCCCTCGCTCATGACGAACTAGAAGAATTGATAGCAGAATGAAAACGATATTTAAAAACTGCTAATGCTACTATTGGAAGCAATGGTGGAAATTATGTAAAACAACACAAAGATTTTATAGAGAGTTATGAAACTAATGGTTGAGAAAAATTAATCGAAGCTTATAATAAAAAAAATACTTCTATTGCTAGCCTTTCAGGTGATGCTTCAAAATATACTAATCTTTATGATGGTAGACTTTGAACTGGCGATAGTGCTACCTCCCAAGATATCAAAATAACCGAACAAGAAGCCGTTAAATGAATTACTTACACGATTAAGTTTTTAAACAAGGAAAATATTAATAAAGCCGAGTTTGATAAAAAAACTAATACTTTACCCAGTGGAATAACCAGTTTAGGAGTAAGAATAGATAATACTACTCCGATTACTAATACCTTGGTTCAAGGGTGATTAAAAACTATCCAAGACCATGCTGATAATTTAGTAGAAACTACTGATGAGAAAACCAACCGAAAAGAGTATAGTTTCGGGCACAACTTTGTTAAGGATGAAAATGATTTAACCGCCGGGATGAAAGATAATGTTTTTAACCAAGCCAGTTGTGAAGCATTTTTTGAATTAATGAATTTTTTCGGTCAAAATTCTTCTTGGTTAGACCATGCTGACGTTAAAACTAATGTTTTGAAAAACTTTGCTGATGACAACACCCTTACTTTTATCCCCGCCCAAGACAAACCTTTTACCGAAGGCAAATTACATAGTTGGGGAGTAGAGGGATACACAGATAAGAAGTTTGCCGATAGCAATAAAGTTACTGGTTTTTATGGTGATGTCGGTTGAAATGAAAATACTAAGGAAAACGAAAAAGCTGATAAAGCCATTAAATTCCAGATAAAAAAAGGATTGAATGGCTATGCTAAAATAATCAATCATTTTTTTGATATTTATAACGCTACTTCCGTTAAAGGTAAATATGCTAAACTAAAAGATAGTTTTGACACCGACCCTTATTCTACTTTCTTTGCTAGATATCGAACCGTAGATGAATATGGTAGCTTTACTGATGGAACCAACCATTATACCTTACATGATTTTCCTAAATTTTTCCATCGCAAACAAAAGGAATTAAAAAGATTACAAGGATTACGCGATGCGGAATTAAAAAGATTTGATACTGGTGGCGAGGAATTAAGAACAGCTCAAGATGAATTAGATAAGGCAAAAAAAGCCGTTAAAGATAAAGAGACTGAAATCGATAACAAGATTGCTGGGAAAGTAGCTGAATTAAGAAAAGAATTAGAAACTAAATACAAGGTTTCAGATACTAAGTCTAATAATTTCACTGGAGATGATAAAGTGACCTATGAAGAACTTTCTAATTTCCGACGACTAGTTGAACAAATTCGTTTTCTAGTGAACCGCGATGAAGAAAAACCCACCGGTAAAACTAATGAGGATAGTTCTTATGTTGCTGGTAAGGCTATTATAGACAAATATGTTCATGACTTTTTTCATGATTTAAATTCTTTTGAAAAAGTTGGTTATGACAGTAGCAAAACCGAAGCCGAAAACATTGAGCGATGACCAAAAAAAAGAAAGATGATTGAAGTTTGCTTGGTCAGAAAAAGGCGGTCAACAAAAAGTTGACAGTTATGAACTAAAAGACAGTGATAAAGCCAAGTTTGATGAGTTCCTTTATGAGTGTGCCATTGGCAAGATTAATTATAATTCCTTAGAAAAACCAACCGAGGAACAACATGAGGATGAAGACCCTAATAAAGATAAGAACGAAAAATGGTTAAGAATGAATAACTGACAAGTCTGAGCGGCGTTTATCGGCATTGCAGTGCTAATTGGCGGGTTAGTTTATATATTTAGAGACAGTATTTTTGGTAAAGAAGAACCAAAATCAGAAAAAGAGTTAACCGAAGATAATTAAGAAAGTGAAAAACCCAAGGATTAGAACAATTAATTGAAAACTCTATCTATCGCGATCGATCGAGTGATGAAGTAATTGCTGATGTTTTTATGATACTTCACGAAAGAGAAGAAATTGATTGCGAAACGGCTTATTGTTTTGATAATTGTGAAGAACAGAAATCTAATATGAAAGAAAAAACCATAAGAAAAAAAGCACTAATAATAATATACAAATTAAAAGATTTTGATAAGGATATAACCTTGTCTGGCTCCTGACGCTCTTTGTGGCGTTCGGGAACTTTAAAAAGAATTAGAAAACATTTTGCTATTATTACTACGCAGAAAAACATTAGTGATTTAGAAATATTAGAAAGTTGCAAAATATTAAGAAAGAATTTAGTTAGTTTAGCATTTAGAACAGGTTTCGTGAAAAATGAAATCGACAAAGAAATGATTGACCAAGTAACCCGCGAGTTAGCGGAGTTTTTAAAAGAAAAGCATATTATCAGTTATGAACAGTCAAGAAAGAAACTAAATGAGGCAAAAGAAAAAAGATAGAAAATGAAACCAATTAAATTACCAAAAACGAAAACGCCAAAGAAACAAACGCCAGAAAAAAACATGAGGATAAGGATATTAAGTATAGACCCGTCAGGAACCGGAACCAGTGGAATTTTTTTAGTAGATATTCACCATGAAGATAATAGCACCATTTCTTATGAATTTCAAGAGTTCAAAAGTGATAATTGAAAAGAGCATTTAAAGTTTCTTATTACTCTAATTAGAGAAAAAGAACCCGATTTAGTTATTTTTGAAGACACCACTTATATTTACGGTCGCCAGCAAAAAGGAACAGTGGGGTTATGTAAATTATTAGGTGGAATTACTAGTTTAGAATATATTTTTACTTCTCTTCGGCAAATCGGCAGTGTTCCCGTAAATGTAGTAAAGAGTTTTCGTGATAAAGTTCAAACAGGAACAGAAGAAATAACAGGTTTAAGTTTTGAAGTTGGCCGCGGTAAAGGTTGAAAATATAATGGGGAGAGAATTAACTTACATAAAGTAGATGCCTTAGCAGTTTATCAGTTATGAAGTAAAGAACATTTAAAAAGTTCGGAAGAAATTGAAAGAAAAATAGCCCAATTAAAAGCCAAAAAGCGATTAGGAGTTAGACAGCAAGAACATTTAACCAAATTAGAAGCCAGTTTAGGCGAAAAATCACATCGCGAATAAAATATGTCAGAAAATAATATAGAAAATCACCAAATTGAACTAACTGAGACTTTACAATCTCAGCAAAAAGAAGAAATAATTAACCATTTCAATTTTCTTACTCCCGAAGAAAAACAAATGGCAATTAGAGTAATTAATATTCTTACCAGTAAAAATCCCAAAGAAAAGCATTTAGTGATTGATTATAATATTCTCTATTCCCAACCGCCAGAAGATGACAAAGAAAGAATTATCACCAAATTACAAGAAGAAATTAAATTTAACCGCAAAATAATTACTGAGTATAAGGAATTAAAGAAAAATTATTGAGGAGAAATAGTGAGATTAAAAAAAATATTGAACGAAAAATAACATGCCGCAAAAGCAACAAAAAAATAAAAAAAATTACGAAACTGAAAAAAATTTAATGGTTTTTTGCCCTGATTGCCTAATAAAAGAAGTAGGAGGGAAAGTATTAGCCACCGTTCCCGCCGAACAATTAAAAGCCAAAATACACCAAATTAGCCGTTATATTACCACACTTGAACCGGATAACGCAATTAAATGTTGAAGTGAAAAAGATAAAGATTGAAAAATATCCTACCATTTTTCTTGCCCGGCTTGTGACAGTAAATTTCGCACGGACTACTGATTAGATAATTTGTCCCGAAATCCTACTTTGGATGATTTACTAACCACCGCCCAAAAAGATGGTCAATTAGGCCTGACTTACCAAGAATAGAATGAATTATAGTCTCGAAGAACATTACCAACCCGTAGTTTTTACTAAACCGCCCAAAAAAACCAACTGAAAAGTCATTTTTTCCCTACTGGCTATTGGGGGTTGTACCCTTGGTTATTGAAAGTGAGGTAAAATAATATTTGTTTTTATTGCCGCTTTTTTAATCGCGATTTTTGCTTTACCCATTTGAAACTTTTTTTGAAAGCAAAATTGAGATATTGACGAAGATTATTTAACTATACTACGATTACAAGAAATTTGAGAAAAAGCGGGAATAATTGAAATTCAAGGCGGATCAGAAACAGGAAAAAGTTTATTGATTGTTCTCCTTATTAAACATTTAAAAGGGAAGGTATGAACTAATATTCCTAATAATATATCTGGCTGTAATAAATTAGATTTAAATATTCTCCAACAAATTTATCACGGTAATTATCCGCAAGGTATGACTGGTATGAATAATTTACTATTAATAGATGATAGTTGAGATTTTTTCAGCCCGAAGGAATTAGCCAAATATGATTTAACTTTTAAATTATGAGATTTATTTGCTTTTTTATCAGAAACTAGCAAAACGGGAATTAAGATTTTTTATGTTAGTAAGCAAGGGATGAAATATCCAAATAGTTTTTCCTTATTAACCGCCAATCGGTGTGGTCTTATTCGCACATTAGGAAAGAGGTTTTATGTCCGCTATTGGGGGAAAGAATATTATTATTTAGATATTCAATTTTTTGACGAAAAAGATATTCGCACTAATGCCGTTAGACCCCATCCAAAGAAAAATCTGAAACCCCGTGGTGAATGATTTTGACAAAGGTGGTGATTAGGCCAAGAAGATCAAAGTTTAATTAGTATTCCCTTTAATCAGCATGATTTAACATTATATGATAAAACTTGAAATGTTGATAAAGTTCGTCAGCAAAACCGTTTAAAAAGTATCGCTCACCAAGTTCAGGCCGACGGACTAAGCGAAATAATTGGGGAACAATCTCGGCGCCAAATGATAGAGGAAGAAATATTGCTAGAAAAAATTGCTAACAGCCTGCCGGAATTAAAGAAAAAAAAATACCAGGAACTTATGAGAAAAAGAGGAATAAAAAGTGGTTCTGAAAAATTAGCTGAGGAAACCACGCGATTAGAAAGAAAATTAGCCGCCGGAGTTATTAACGAAGAAGAATACCAAGAAAAATTAGCTGACTTACAAAAAAGAAAAGACGCTTATGAAGCAGCCAAAGAAAAAAACCAAAGAAAAGGCAAAAAAACTGAACCAGAAAATAAGAAAAAAAGTAAAGAGGAATTTATTCCGTGGGAAAAGGAGGAGATAGAAGAAAATGAAGCCAAAACACTAGAAAAAAAAGATTTGAAAGTATTAGAGGAACCAAAATTAACGGAAAAAGATAAGAAATTATTAAATAAGAGTAATTCCGAAACTATAACTAAACCAAAAAAAACTAATTCTGAACCGACAAATAAAGAAGGAAAGAAAAAGTTTTCTCTTTTACAAGAATGGTTAGAAAAAGAGAATAAAAAAGAGGAGGGGGAAGATGAAGAGGAGGACGAAAATGACCCTGATCACGAGGGAGAAAATTAAGAAAAAATGTTAGGAATAATCAAATATATATTTAATTTAAGATGGTATTGGCTACTCTCTTGGGTAGTAATAATTGGCTTAATTATTGGAGTTTTTCGTTATTTTAGAGCTTTTGATTGAGTAAAAGGTATGATACAAAGGTATAAAATGATTGAATTTGCTGAAAATGATGTCAATTCTGCTATTATTGTCGGTGATATTGGCCGCGGAAAAACATTATTAATGAGTATAATTGCTCGCGGGATTAAACACGGTGTCAAAAAAACGGGCTTTGTAAATAATATTCGGGATGCTGAGTGATTATCTTATAACGATATTAATATTCACGAACCCAAATACTTGCGAGACACTTATAATTTTCCCAAATTTTATTTTTTAGATGAAGGTAATTTGTATATTGACGGGGTGGATTATCGCACTAATCGGAAAATTCATAAAGGAGTAGAACTTTTTTTAACTTGAAGTCGGCATTTTGGCGTCCGATTTTGAATGACCGCTCAACGGGAAGGTCAAGCTTGAATTGCCATGCGAAAAGTAGTCAATTATTATGTAAAATTAGGAGAATGAGAACATTTATTTGATTGACGACAAAAAAGATTTTGACTTATGCCGGTCGAGTTTTATACCCAAAGTGGAGTATTACACAAAACCTTTAATATTACCATTAGTAGTTTAGACTTTAATCTTTATAATTCTTACTGATTAAACGATATTCGCCACTTTTTACCCACTCAGAAAGAACCCGAACATAATAGGTGGATAAGGAAATAAAACTATCAAGAAGGGAAAGTATTAGTCGGTTGGTTTTTTAGAGTTTATTTTTGTAGTGAAAATTGTTAGGGATTATTTAACGGATAATTCTATTTAAAGAAATAATTTTGTTTTCTAATTACTATTTTCTCCCTCCAAATATTCACAAATAAATAGTTTTTATCATATCCCAAATACAAAGAAAGCAAAAAGCATACATTATACTAACTAGCGGAAGTAAAATAGCTAAATGAATAAACCATCCGAGTACATTTCTTCTCTCCAAACAAAGACTTACTAATAAAAGACTAAGGTTAATTTTCAACCCTGATTATTTTTGGTTCATAGTTCCTTAATTTCTTCTTCCAGGAGCATTTTGGCTATTTCTTTCGTAATTCCCTTCATAGTTTTATAAATTAAGTCTTTTCCTTGTTCACTTTATGGCTAAAATCAAAATCAGCAATCCAGATATACCCCCACCTCACCACATTATTTTTTTCCAGGGTCATTTATTTTCTTGCTCGTTCAGTTTAGTAGCCTCCTGAAACTCTTTTAGTGTCTTTTCGGCATCCTTTTTTTCGCTTTCCAACTCCTTCTTTTGTTCGGGACTAAGTAAATTATAAGCAGCTAGTCAATTTTCCGTTTTTTTAACATATTCTTTGCCTTCGGGAGAATTAACTATTTGTCTTAAAATACTTTTACCTATCATTTTTTCCATTTGCTCATTTAAATCTTTTCAGTCTTTTTCTAATTTTTCAGTTTTTTTATCAGGATTGGAACTGGTAGAATTTTGGTTATAAGGATTAAAAAATCAAGGATTATCATTTGAGTGATTGGGTACTTGTTCTTCGTTTTCTGGGTTAGCATTTTCTACTTGTCAGTCATCAAAAATAACGGCCATAAGAGTAAAAATGTCGTCTCTTAATAGTTCATTATTTTCTTTATCACCAAAATAGGTCAAAGAAAGGGGAAATAATTCTCGCCATTTTTTATCTTTTTGGTGGGTGGGTAAATTATGGTAATACTCGCTATCACCGTTCTCGGTGGCTTGGCAAGAGGTTAAAAAGTCTTTTCAAGCGTCAACTAATAATTTTTCTTGTTCGGAATTAATGTCATATTTTGTTTTGACAGCAGGAAGAATTATTGTTATTTTCTTTTTATTCTTGTTATCTTTTAAATCAATAATTGTTTCTTCGTGTAATATTTCATTTTCTAAATAGTATCTAAAATTATTTCAGGTCATTTGGGTAGGCTTGGCTAGTCTATAATTATTTTAATTTTAGTCTAATACGCATAATGGCATAGACTACATATTAATAATTTATACATAAAATACTACTAAAATTAAAAATATAAAGAATGCCCAAAACCTACCACTTGAAACCTGTTACTAGTTCGGGTTATGTTTTAAAAGGAAACATGGTTAAAATTCCGGTAGTAGACCAATATAATAAGAACTACACATTAGTTTATGACCCGAACAAACAACTTATTCCGCCCGAATACTTGGCTAAGCATTCCATCGGCGAAGGATTTATTTTTATTCCTCCACTTTCCGAAAAACAAGCCTGAAAGGTAGTGGGAACCCATGCCAACAATATCATTCGGGCGGAAAAGATTAGTGGTAATTGAATTAATGCCAATGATTATCTAACCCAAAATTATCCCGCCGACCAAAGAAAAATGATAAGAAAATTAGACCTAACCAGTAAAGGTTTAATTGGTCAATTAGATTTAAAACAATTCCCTGATTTAGAAGAAGTTAATTGTGCCGATAATTATTTAACTAGTTGCAAAACCTCGCCTAGCGTGAAAAGTATTAACCTCGCTGGAAACTGTATAAAAAGTATGCAGGATTTAAACTGTAATTGGGATACTTTACAAGAATTAAATATTGCTAATAATCCCATAGACTTTCAAGAGTTTACTGCCCTTTTTTTAAAAGTAAAGGTGCTAGAAAGAAACCAGCAAGAGACCGAAGACCAGTCGGAAAACATTAAAAAGCATAAAGAATTATTGGACGAAGCCAGCAGTAAGCTAACCGACGCACAAAAAGAAAATAAGCGATTAAGTGGCGATTTAGACCAAAAGAAACAAGAACTAGCCAGTAAAAAAGGAAAAGGTGAACTATGAGGACAAATAAAAATTCCCTTACTAATTATTAGCATAATTTTGGGTGGCTGGTTGCTTTTTTACCGAATAGGGAGAAGTATTTTTAAAGATTAATCATGGACGTTTTAAAATATATCGCTCAACACTACCCAGATATAAATCAGAGGAGGAAAATAAAGGAATTAGACCTTACTAATAAGGGTTTAACGGGTGAATTAGACTTTAAAAATCTTAATTTTACTAATTTAGAAATAATAAAGTTGGCTAATAATCAATTAACTAAATTAACTTTAATTTATGGTGAGAAAATTACTCATTTAGATTTTAGCAATAATAAGATAAGTAATTTAAATTTTATTAAAAATAAATTTCCCTTTCCTAATGATGAAATAAACAAATATGTCCAAAAAATAGGCTGTTTTGAGTTCGGTGGTAATCCTTTACCAACTGACCTTAAAAAAACCCTGTTAAAATGTCGGTGAGTATATTGAAAAAATGTTCTAAAACATTTTTCTGGTCTAGTAATTCCCGAATTTCAGCAATTAATAAATGTTCAAGATTTAGATAACTTTATCATTAATTACGATTACGAACAAGAAGGAGGTTCAGAATATAAGCAAATAATTGGTGGTGGTTTAGGTTCTTTGAATGAAATGGCTTTTCAACAATTAAATCAACAAGTTTTAGCCCGTGTCTTAATCGCTCAAAACCGCTTAATAAACGGAGAAGACGAAAAATACGAAACTGAAATTAATAATTGAGCCAAGCAATTCCAAAAAGTGGGCGAAATGTATAATCAGTATCCGTTAAGTTTGATACAGCGGGAATTTGACCGACAACAGGCAGGGGAAAAAGATTTAGTCCGAGAATTTCAAACCCAATTATTAGAATTAGAAAAATTATTAGACCCAAGTATTAGAAATAGTAGTGCTGCCAATTTAGAGAAAATAAAAGACAGTATTATCCATCTACAACAAATTATTCAGCAACAGAAGCAAGATTTAGCCGAATTACAACAACTTTTAAAGGATAAAGAAACGGCTCGTAAATCTCTCGCCGAGCAATACCAAAACAGCGAAACCGCTCGCACTAATACTCTGAACCAACTAGACCAAACCACCAAAGAAAGCAAAGATTTAGCCACCAAGTTGGAAGTTATTGAAAATAATGAAAAGTTATGTCGCCAAAAAATAGAAGAGTTAGAAAAAAGTAACGTTTTAGAGCAGGCTCAATTAAAAGTTAATTTTAGTAAAATGAAGCGGGAAAAAGAGGAGTTTATTACTAAATTACAAGTGGAAATAAAGAAATTAAAAACTAAACCAAAAACTGCCGAGATAGAAACCCAAACCGAGAATATTCCCGCTCCGACTAATTACTGAAAATGGGGACTAATTGGTTTGGCGATTTGTTTAGTAATAGGGGCTGTTTATTGGGGAAGGAAGTGAATACAGAGTTATTTGTAAGGCTATGAAATACACTGTTGAAAAGTTTGAAAACTGACTAAATGCTGAGAAAAGCCGCAAAAGAGGATTATGATTTTGAGGACAGGTTATTAGTAAAGTTAGATCTGACCCCGACTTATTTGCTGCCCTAGCTACCGGCCAAGACCAAGGAGGCTGAAATATTTCCGACCCAGAATTTAGAAAACGATATAAGTTTGAAGATTATTACCAAGTATTTAAAGAATGAAAAAAAGAAGTAGACCGAAAAGACCAATCAAATAACATGAACCAACCGAAATCTTTAAAAGAATTATTACAGCAAAAATATCCTTCACTTTTAACTAAAAGAATAGAATTAGACGAGAACTTTTTTCACCAAGCCGAAAAATGACCGAACCAAGTTTTAGATTTTAGCCCTTATCCTTATTTAGAAACTATTATCGCCAAAAAACCCGGAACCATTAGGAAAATCAATATTAGTAAGAATAAAGAATTACGAAAATTAGAGTTTGCTAATCAGGAATTAAGCGGAATATTAGATTTAAGTGCTAATTCTAAATTAGTTAATGTTTTTTTGTCTAATAACCGCTTAGATGGTTTAAAAATTCACAGCAATTTTAGCCAAAAATTAAAAGGTCATAAGAGTTATTATTTAAGTCCGCAGAAGCATAATTCAAAAAAACTTCATCCGGTAAAAGATGTGACAGTGGTATTATTAGATATGTCTGATAATGAGGAATACAATACGCCACCCGAAGAGCCTAATACTGATAACCCCCCCAACCCAAAACCAACCGAAAATATGAATTGAAATGAATTTAAAACTTACCTAACCACTAATATTTTAGAAGAGGATGTGGAATATCAAAATAAATTCCTCCTCAAAGCAACTACCAAAAACAAATATCAAATGATTAATCAGTCCGAATTAGAAAATACTTTAAATGATTTCATTTTGAGTATTGATAATAATCTCCACCAAGACTATTACCAACTCCCTTCTTTAACTAAAAATAATGAAAATAACCAAGAAGCGTTTAAATCTTGGAACCAATTATTTCCCAATCGCCAAGAAATTATTTTTGGTCAGAAAAAAGGTGCTAGTATTGAAATCAGCACTGATATATTTAATGTCTTAAAGAAAATATATAACTCTTGATTAAGTCAGATAACGCTTTATGAGCAATTAAGAGAGCAACAGGAAAAATGAGAGGAAGAATTAAAACAACCTCCCAGAACAACCAAAGAGGAGCAAATTAAATCTTGACAAGAAAATGGTCTAATTCCCCAGTTGGAAGACTGATTAAATAATTATCAGAAATTAAGTAATAAACAGCAAGAGGAATTAAAAAGCGAAGCTCAAAAAATTCAACAAACCTTAGATTTAGTTGGGAATGAAGACCAAGAACAACCAAATTCACCTATTCCTATTAATAATAATTGAGATTTAGGACAAATTGCTCTTTATGGCTTGGGAGGATTAGCAATTCTTTTTTTGCTGGCTTTCTTGGTGAAAGGGGTGAAGAAATTATTTAGTTAGAGAAGAAATGCCAACTAAAAGATTAACCGATGCTGATTTAGAGAGAATAGAAGCAAAAATAAATAAAAATGACAATTATATATAATTTTCCAAAATCTAACGAAGAGCTTATTAAAATTGACATAGTAAAAATATTAGAGAGAGGAATAAATCTTTTTTTTGAACCAATCGACTCCTAGTGGTCGTGAGGCTGATATAATCCTGACCGACAGAAATGATGGAAAAAATATTCTCATTGTTATCGAGGCTAAGGATGCGGGCAAGAATTTAGAAAAAGCACTTACAGAACAAACCATTCCTTATGCCCAAGAATGAAAAACTTCCATTACTCTTATAAAACTATAAATATGACTGAAAAATTAATAATTACTTCACAATCTTCTGCCAAATCTGATAAAAAAACCACTCCTATTACAAGTAATATTACGGAGAAAGATAAAAATACTAAAACTACTTCTCTTCCGAATATATTTGACAATACTTTTAACCTTCCTTCCCAAACTGGTTCTAATTCTTTGGCGGAAAAAACTTCTAAAATATTTTCGCAATCTACTACGCCTACTTTTACTACTTCTTCACCTAATATAACAGCAACTAATAATTCTCTTGGTAATCTTTCTAATACTAATAAGGCTATTATTGGTGGGACAGTAGGGTTGGTATTACTTTGCTGTATTGCTAGTTTTGGCTATTGGTGTTTCCGCCGAGGCCACCGCACCGTAACTATTAGAAATGTTACTTCACCGACTTTGCCAAAATCACCGGATAAAATTGATTAATTTTTGCTTTAATTTCTTTAGGACATTCATGACCATAACAATGGCAACCTCCGCTACGAAAACCACGTGGACAGCAATTATAATCTCGTTGTCCACAGCAACAACAATCGGGATTTTCTCCCCAATATCAAAGAGAACGAAAATAATCGCTTAATGGCTCTCATTTTTTAGAACCTTCAAAACAAACAAAACCATCCTTGGCAAGATCATTTATAAGGCCATATTTTTGGCATTTTTGCTTGTAAAAAAAGGGTGGCATAATGTGCTTGCTGATTTTTTTTGCTTCTCTTATTCAATAACTTTGACAATTTTGACATTTTAAACGACAAAAATATTTAGTAATTATTTGGGCAGGGGGCAAAAAATATGCTCGCTCTTCCTCTTCTTCGGGAAGATAAACACGAGAACCATTCGGACAGTAACCTTGACGCGGTTTTTTACCCTCCTTAATTTTCCCGCTTCTTTTAACTCGTCAATAGTCCCATCATAGCACCAAATTTTTTCTGGATTCATACCCATAGTTTTAGGATTAAGACTAGTAAATTCCAAACAAGTAATGTACCGAGGGGTAATTTCGGTCAGTCAGATTTTTTTGTCCTTATAGGTTCAAAAGACTTGTTTTATGTCTCCTTCTTTTATATCCTCATCCATTTTCCTTCGATTGGAGCAATATTTATTTTATAATGCTCTAAAATTTTTTCTTTTTGTCTCAAAACTTTGGCTTTAAAATTTTCAGAACAGGGAAAAAATTTGACATTGGGTTCAGGATAACCTTTAACGGCATGTCATATCCCCTTAATTAAATCTCGCTTTCGATTATCCTTTGGGCGAGGAAATAATTTCCTGGCTTCTTCAATAATTATTCCTCATTCATCACTTTCTCTTCATTTGTTGTCAAAAATATATCTCCCCCGATCAGTAAGTTCAGAATTAATAAGGGCATTAATTTGAGGATGTGTTCCAGAACGGTAACCGCGAGAAACAATTTTGGCTTTGAGTACTTGTTTTTTTTCTTTTAATACTTGCACCGTTACTAATTCATAAAGACGATAAAGTTTCGCAGCAATACAGTCTCAACCTTTCGTAGGTGGTCCGTCTTCTCAATCGCCTAACTCACGACCTCCTTTATGTCCTTCTGGATAAATTATTGGAGTTTTTAATATTACACAATCAGTATCCCAATAGAGAATTGAATCTTGGTTTTTTATTACCATTTTCATCAATTTTACTCAAGCATAAGCCGTAGTCTGGGCGGCTACTGGAACATAATTAAAAGCGTTAATTCTTTCTTCAGCACCTCTTTCTCATTGAAAATAAGTTTTTCTGATTGGACAAAGAAACTTCATTTTTCCCTCCCTTGGATTTCTCCTTTTACTCACTAAATTATAGTTACTACGCATTATTCGTAGTCCAAAGCGGCCATAAGGCGAGACCAACATTAATTTAGCAAATATTTCTTCAAATTTGGTTTTGGCATTTTGTTTTATGTTAAAGAAAAAGTCCACATAATCATTAAACAGTCCTTCTTTACCGTCAAATTCTATTCCCCGTGGTATTGCTCAAACTCCCTTATAATGTTTAGCAATAAATTTTCATTTGAAACCATTACATCAAATAACTTTATTTTTTATTTCACTTCAGCCTTTTTTAACCCCTTCTTCGCCAAATAATTCAATAAGAGGAATTCTGCTAAGTTTCTTATTTAATTCTAAACTCTCAACATGAATTTCATAAAATCCAGTATCTTTTAGTTCATCTACTTGGTGATGTCTAATTCCGTTCACTCATTTACCAATGCCTATTGGCATGGGATTATTACGCATTTCTCCTGGAAACATTGAAGCTACATCACTGGTAAAAATATCAACATCAGAGGGCAAATGCTGTTCATTTCAGGAGTCAGTACTCCCGCCTTGATAGCATTTTTGGACAAATTCCCGCCGATCATCAAATTTAGGATCACTGAAATTAGGAAAATAATGATTAAACTCCGGAATCAAACTTCGAAGGGTATACAACGCTAAACCAGCTTGCGTTCCCTTTTTATAAATCATGCTTCGGGCGGAAAGTTCTTTACCTTTTGCTTTTTTAATAGCATCCTTTATTTGTTGGTTAATTCGGTCCACATTTTCCTTTTGTATTCGGACGTCATTTTCACAATAAATAAGTAGATTTTTATAATCTTCTTCGGTATATTCTCCTTTTTTATATCCTTCGGAATTAAAGAACTCCTGCCCTGCTTCTTTTATTTTCTTTTGTTCTTCACTACACGGCATATTTTCAATGCTAGAGGGAAGAAGTTTAAAAGTATCTAAATGTAAGATATTTTTTCACCTAAACATGGCTCAGCCTCCTAATTCGCGGGGAGGTTGTATTTTTTTGTCATCGGTTAGTTCTTTTTTTTTTAACCATTCATCTTTTAAAGAGTCTTCCACAATTTTTTTTCAGTAGAATTTTAAATCAAATTTAATACCATTATGAGCTCGCAATACTATTTCTCTTTCTTGCTTTTCCATTCAGGCAACAAATTTTAATCAGGACTTGGTATCTGGTCCAGTTTGCACTAGACCGTGACAGCAAATTGCTACTCAACAAATTATTCGACCATTTTGGTTTAAAATGAACGAAACTTCTGTATCATAATCAATAGTTGTTATTTTATCTTTACCATCAGTTATTTCGGTGCGAGCAAGACCAAGTTTTTTAAACAGTTCACAGGTTCGGCTTTCTATCTTTTTTTTAAGATTATTTTCGGTTGTTGTTTCTTTTTTGCCTTCTTGTTTATCTATTGTTTTATTTATTTCATTTACTTGGCAATAGGAACATTGTCCTTTATTTATAAATAATATTTCCTTTTTACATTGTAAACAACGAGCAAAGTTTACCCCCTGTTTTTTTTTTATTCGCTTAATTTCCCTCTTTAATTGCTCGGTTTCCCGCACTCTTTGCTTTGCTTGGATATTTTTGAAAGATGCGGATTTACCAAGTACGTTTCTTTTCATGATTAATTATAATTAGTTTTTTAATTGTTTTTTTGTTTGTTCTTCGAATTTAGAGAACTCAGAAGGAGTTAAATTTTTGGCAAGAAGTCAATAAAACTCCACGAACTCATCTTCCGTAAATTTATCATAATGAACTTGAAATTGAGTGCGGGTAGTATGTCAACTTCTTCCCTTTATTACTGCTTTCAATTTTACTTTTCCTCACTGAATGTATTTTTCAAATTCTTTTTTATCTTTTTCATTTCAATAATGTCAAAACGGTTTCTTATTTGTTTCCATCGTCAGCATATCATTTTTGAACATTGTATTTTATCGTTAAACACATGGTTTATTATCACTATTACTCCTAATCAAGAGTTAATTTATAAAGGGTAGACAATTTTTTTTCTTTCCTTAATTTATTTTATATAGTTTTAATACTTACATGATAAATATTAAAGGCTAATATAAAGAATTAAGAATGATTACTAAATTCCCTATTATTATGGGTTTAAAAGCTTTTAGAGTAATTTTAATAAGCACTAAAAAAAATTATTATTTTTCTAAAATTTTTTAAAAATCTTACATTATCTAATTAAAATTTCTTTAAAGCTTGGTAATTCTTTGGGATATTTTTTTTTTCAGCGCAGGTAAGTAATATATACACTGTCATACTTACTATTGGGATTAGGTAAAGCATGTTTAATTTTCTTTTTGAGGTAAAATTCACGTAAGACTTCTAATAGTTTTTGTTTTTTTAATTCTTCAATCTGCTTTTTAAGTTCTAATATTTGTTCCTTAACAGTTTTATTATTCATTTTCCTATTAAAGATTTTTATGAGTTAGCATAATTAAGTTATTATATACAAAAAAGTAAATGGTTGGCTATACTATATACCTCTTTACAAAATGAAAAAGGATAATAAAAAATCACTACATATAAACAATTAACATGTAAAATAATAAATATATGACTGAAAAATTTGTAATTTTACCAAATCCCACTGACAAAAGTGCCTCCTTTGGGCTTCCTACTCTCCAAAAGTTTTCTCCTTCCCAAACTGGCTCTACTTCTAAAATTAGCACTGGCTCCCGCTCCGCTTCTTCACCAACCTCCTCAAAAACAGAAACTCAGATGATAATATTACTGAAAACTGGACCAGATGCCACTGCTACCCCAACTTCCCAAGATACCGTGCCAACTATTAATATTGGTGAAGCCCTCCAGAACCTCCCAACTTCTGGCAAAGTGGCTATTGGTGGTACTCTGGGATTAGTAGGAATTTGTGCTATTGGTGCTTTAGTTTTTATTTATCATCGTCGCTGAAAAAGAGAAAGAACTGTAGAAGGGGGGATGACTAGCAGTTTGTTTAGTCCAGGAAGAACAATCGAAGTAACAACTTTGCCACCAACACCCAAAACTCCCAAAACTCCCAAAACTCCTACTACACCTCTGTGGTGACAGTTTTGAAAAGACAAAAAGGATTAATTTTTAACCAACAACAAGAATGATAAACATTTTAAAGAATTTCACAAGTAAATCAGACGAAAACCAAGAAATTAACCACTCCCGGAGAGGCAGTTGAAAAGATTGATTTCTCAGTTTCTTTTCCTCCCTTGATGTTATTAACAAAAAGTTAGAAAAGGCTAAAAATGATGAGGAACGAGTGGAGTTATTAAAGGAGGCATTAGAAATCTGTCATACTGAAATAACTCGTTTAGCCACTGAGAATGGCGATTTAAAAGATAAAATTGAAGAAGTTGAAAAAGCCAGTATTTTTAGTGGTGATAGTGATATATCCTCTTTTTCTAACGAAAGCATTAACACTAAAATTGAGAAAAGAAAGCAAGAAATTGAGGGATTAATAAATAATTCTAAAAAAAGCACCTCCCATTTACGCAAAGAGATTAATTATTTAGAAAAAATACAGCAATTAGAAAACTTAAATCACCAAAAGGATTTAGAAATAGCAAGATTAAAAGAAATTGAAAATGATAACGAATTAGAAAAATTATTAGTTGTAGCAAATAAAGAGGTTGATAAATTAGGAGAAGGTATTAAACAAACCCGAGCATTAATCGAAATCACTAAGAATTAAGAACATGACCGAACAAGAAAAAAAGAAAGAATTAACCAAAAAACTCACTGAAAAATTAGTCGGTTATCAAACTGAAATAACTCAATTACAAAACAAAATTAAGGAAATACAGAAAAAGGAAGAAGAAACCCAAATTGAGTTAAAAAAACTACAAGAGGAAAAAGATAATAAAGACCAGGAAATTAAAGATAATGATGCGGAAATTATTGAAATGTTAGAAAGAGCTTTAGTGGAAACAGCTAAAATAGACACTCAACTTTTAGAAACCAAAAACTTGTTCGAAGTTCCTCCAAAATCTAAATAATAAATCACTTCAAATTTCTGGATGAATGACACGATAAAGGAATTGGTGAAAAAATTACAAGCAAAGTTAGTCAGTCACCAAAAAGAAATTAATGATGTTCAAGACCGCATTAAGGATTTAAAAAGTAAGAATTCTCAAGAAATTCAAACCAAAGAGAAAGAATTAAAAAATATCCGCGATAAGTTGTCCGCTTGTCAAAGGGAAAGAGATAATATTCAGAAAGAGTTGGACAGGAAAATAAAAGAGCTAGAAAATTCTAATCTCTCTGATAGTGAAAAACAAGTCCAAATCACTAAATTGTTGGTGGAAAATAAAGATGAACTTAATTCGGTTGGCAAACAATTTTTAGAGATGTGAGCTAATTATGGTAAGTCAAGTGATAAAATGGTTGGAATATTGGAAGCTAGACATCAAGAAAATCAACAAGTAATCAAAGGATTAGAAAAAAGCAAAGGTAATTTATTTGCCATGGTATGAGTTTTACTAATTTTGCTTTCCTTCTTCCTCATTATGAGACAAAAAAAACCGAAAACAAAATAAAAAAATAATACTGGTTCGGGCAAATCAATCCTAATACTTTTATACAATAAATTTAAACATAATCACTATGTCAACAACAAAAGAAATAACAGTAAAAAAAATAGACAATGAAAATATAGAAATTAATGGAGTGCAAATAACTATCGATGAATATAATAAAAACAGAGGTAATTATAGCAATAGAAATATCGATACCAGTTTTAAAGAAGAATATGAAAACTTAGCCAAAGAGATAGAAGGAAGTATCGAGGATGGCCACGGAGGTTATCTTTCTGACTGAACCCAAATCGAAGAAGTTATCAAAGCCAAATATGTTGATTATGCTCTTTATAAATTATGTATTGAAAAAATTAACTATATTTTAAAAGAAAGTAAAGGTTTTAATACTATTATCAAAAAGAAAGAAGCCTGAGGTATCAGAGGGGATGATGAAACTAAAATCAAAAAATTAATTGAAAGAAATAACGCTAATTGCGAGCATAATCTCGCTTTATACCAAGACGCCTTACCTTATTTAAAGAGCCTAGTTAGCAAAAAAAAAGCAACTGGTCAGGGATTAGGCGAAAAACCGGTTAATCCGGATGCTAATTTAAATCGGGATGAAAAAGGCCAAAGACACGCCAAACTTAATTCCTGACGAATGAAGGCTTACCAAGATATCGAAAAGGCTTGTCAGGAAGCACCCCAAATTAATAAAAGTGATTATGATTCAGAAATAGAAGATATTCGCACCGCGATTGATGAAGCCGATATTAACCGCAAAAAAGAGTGAATATTAGCCGATATTAAAAAGAAAAGAGCCGCAATAAAGTCCAACGATAAAGGCAATCCCGACCAGAAAAGAAAAAGAGAAGAAGATAATATTCCTGATAACGCAAAAAAATCTCGTCTGGACGCCAATGAGACTAAAAGTGTCGCCGAGTTAAGAAACAAAACCATTGAGAAAATAGATAATAATAGTTTAGCCACTGCTATCAAAGTTGCTACCCAACTAGAAGGAGAAAAGGAATACCAAAAAGATACTGAAAAGGTGAAATTAGCCGAAGAAGAGTTAATGAAAAAAGATTACGGATTATATGTCAAAACCGTTGTTGAAGCTATTCAAAAACGAATCAAAGATTACGGACTTAATATTACTATCGGCGAGGATGGTAATGTAGTAAGTGATATACTTGATGCAGAAACTAAAAGAGAATACCAATATCTACTTTTTGTCGAAGGTGGGGCAATGACTAGTGAAGAGGAACTTTATGAGAACCGAGCCAGTTTTCAAAAGTCCAAAGACCAAGTGATTAAAAAAATTGGGGAATTAGGAGCCAAGAGCAAATGAACTAACTTATTTAGCCAATTTGAAAAAATAAGTGCCAAAATTAAAAACAAATCCCAAATAGTAAAAAAAGAATTAAATAAAATGATAGAGCAAATAAAAAGTTATAAGTCGGACACTAATGCCTATCTTAATAGTTATTATCAAAATAATAAATCCCAAGTGGAAAAAATGGAAAGAACCTTGGAAAATTATTCCAGTAAAATTAAAACTTCACAAGAACCTGGTCTTCTCCGCCAAGAAATAGTTATTCCTGCTATTCTCTTAGTTAGTTTATTAGTAGCAGCAGTAATAGTAGTGAGAAAGAACAATAAGAAAAAAAGCCAATAAAATGAAAAGAGAAAAAGATGAGTTTATTAGTAAATTCTGTAAGGAATATTTATAAGTTAGGGTTCGACAGGGACCTTCCGTTACCAAGCGGAAAACAATTGTGAAATTAATTGTATATGGTGGAAAAAATAAATTTACAACCTCTCCAACGGATGAAAAATTTACTAGCCAAATCCTTAGTGAAATTAGAGGAAGAAAAATTAAAAACATATGAGTTCTGATTTTCAAGCATTAATTAGGGAGGATTTAAGAGAAATTTAATTTTTTATGCCTAATTATAATTTAGAAGAATTCAAAACCTGACTAAATTCCAACTCCAACCGTCGGCAAGGTATGGGCGAAACAAAATGAAATGCAGCTCATAGTTTTTTTTCAAGCCCTGTTTGATTTGAGGATTGGGGTGAAGGAAAATTTTTTTGAAAAGATGGAATTTTAAATGAAAAAATACTTGTCGAATTATCAGCGAGAAAGTTAGAAAAAGGCTTTCCTGAATACTTGTCGGCAGTAAAGTCTTGAATGGCAGAAGTAGATCAGAGAGAGAGTAATATGGTAAACGCCCAAGACTGACTAAACAGTAAATACCCTAGTAAAGAAGAAAGACAAAACACAACAAATATTTCAATCACTGAAATAGAATTAGAAGGGACAATGGATTTAAATGACTTTGTCAACCTAGAAAGTCTTTACTTATGCGGAGAAAAAATTACTGATCTAAAAATTGACCATTGCCGGCAATTAGAACGATTAAACATCCCTCAACAGAAGAACTTAACCTCACTAGATATTAGTAATAATTTAAAATTAGTCTATTTAAATTTTTATGGCAATTTTTTTCCTATTCAGCAATTAATAGGGAAAATCCAAGCCAAAGAACGAGAATTAGCTAATGTTAATCTCACTGCTCTTACTCTACTAAATGAAACGGCCAAAGAGGAAGAGAAAAGAAAAAACCAACTTCAAAAAGAGCAATTAGAAAAAGAAATCCAAGAACTAATTTCTTTAAAAACCCGTTTAGAAACCGAGAATGATAACTTAAAAAAAACTATCGGTGATTTAAAAAATGAACTAATATCCGAAAAAAGAAAAGTTGATAGACTTAATTCTGATTATCAAAAATTATTTTTAGCCGTGGAAGAACTAACCAAGCAGGCCGAAGCTAGTAGTCCTTATCCCGAAAATCAGACCGTCCAAGATAAAATTAAGTTTTTTAATAAATGGTTAAAGTCTAGTCAAGCCGAAAAAGAGAAATTATTGGAAAATATTAAAAAAGAACAGCGCGAAAGCCAGCAAATTCGCACTTCTTTCCAAGAATTAGAAGAACAGTTAAAAAATAGTGGACAAAGTGATGCCCAAAAAGTCCAAGAACTAAAAAAATTACGGGATGAAATCAAGAAATTAGAAGGTAAATTAGCCACTAGCCAAAAACAGGTTCAACAATTACAAACGGAAAATAAAACTAAACAGGAGGAAATAGAACAAACTAAAAAAGATTTAGGAATTAGCCAAAGCCAATTAGCCGCCGAAACCGCCAAAAACCAAGCCTGAAAAGCCAACTTAAAAAAATATGGCGGGGGAGGAATAGCTATTGTTTTAATTTTGGGGTTAGGCTGATGGGGTTGAAAGAAAATAAAAGGAGGATTTTAAAATAATGAACTTAGACAACAATAGCGAAAAAGAAAAGAACAATTATTATTGTCCCCCAGAAAAAAGTCATTGGAAAAAGTATCAACTTTACTATCTAGTTTTCGGCAGTTTTTTTATCACTAGTTTAATTATCTTAATCGGTAATTCCAACGTCAATGAGCAAATTAGAAAAATTAATCAGCGGCTAAATAATCAGTCAGGAACAGAAAATTTAAAAAATAGTAGAAATAATAATCCTCATAACTATAAAAGTGGTGAGTTTACTTTTCCTTTGGCTGACCAAAAAAGTGAGAACTGATTAGAAGAGACTGTTTTCCAAAACAATGTCCGTGAGGAATTTCAAATCTGAGTTAACTCAGTTAAGTATCTGCCTCGCTACCGCATTGGTGGGCAAGCGGAGCCGGAACGACATGCTCTATTTTACGGTCCACCGGGTTCGGGAAAAACATACCTGGCCGAAATGTTTGCCAAAAATGAATCTTTGGGTTATATTTTCGCCAAGTTCGGAACGGAAACTTATACGGGAAGCAGTCAACAAAAAGTAAATGGGGTAATGGAACAAGCCCAAAGTTTACTAGAACAAAATGGCCAAGATAAACCAGTGGTAATTATTATTGATGAAATTGACTCAGTGGGCGTAAAAGACCCACTCAGTAGGAGTAGCACCCAAGAAGTTAACACAATTTTGACCATGATTGATGACATAAAACGAGATAATTTAAACATTATAGTTATTGGTATAACTAATTATCCCGGGGTGCTGGACCCGGCTCTCAAAAGAACTGGTCGGCTCGGTCGGCAAATTAAAGTCCCTTATCTAGCAAAAGAAGAAATAACCAAAATGGTCAACTATTTGGAAAAAGATATGAAAAAAGAACAAGTTGGCTCTCTCAAACATGAGGGCAACAAATCTAAATGAGAAAAAGAAAAAGAAAGTTTTGTTGAATGAACCAGTGATTTTTGGTCTAATGCTCAGCAAATCACCCAAGAAGCGTTTGAAAAATGTCGTCAAGCCGAGATTGGAATTTCTTACACCGACTTGGAAATGTCTATTAAAGACGCTTTGGCCAAGGAAGTTAGTAAAGATTCAAAAAAAATCACTCCCCAAAGTTCTGACTACCAAAAAGAACTAGAAAAAAAAGTGGCCGATAAAGCAAAAAAAGAGAAAGAAAGAAATCCAATGCCAACACCGGATAAAGAGAAAGAAGATAATTCTTAATAATAATTTTAAACCATGCTCATTAAACTAATTTCTGCCTTCTTATTTTTAGTGGGTTTACTACTAATTTTCTTATTTTACCCTTTTACCACTAAATCACCAACCAACACTAAAACTGACTGACAAAAACAGCAAGAGCAAGCCCAAAAAGAAAATGAAGCTGACAAAAATAAAGAGTGATTTAGTAAGAAAAGATGGTTAAGTGATAGAGAAATAGACTGAGCGGTAGCAAGACTAGAAAAAAATAATCAGTATAAAATCTTACCCGCTCACCAATTTACGGTTACTCAGGAGATAAATAGAAAAAATGATCCGTTACTCTTCCCCCAATTACTAAGTGATTTAAATGATTTTAGTAAAGAATTAATTTTTATACCAGTAAATAATCCGGATTTTCATTGGAGTTTGCTGGTTTATGAAACTGCAACTAAATGTTTTTACCATTATGATACTTTACAGGGGGCTAATTATAGTTATGCCGAACCATTAATAAAGGAATTATTACAGCAAATTCACCAAACTAATACCCCTGATTTAGAGCAATATCTAATAAAAAAACATGACATTAGCCAAGGTAATGGTCATGATTGTGGTGTAGCCGTAATAGAGATTATTAAAAGGGTAATAGAAAATAATACTGACAATGAATATACTTTAAACAGTTTGGAATTAGGGAATTTTGATTTTCCCCAAGCCAGGAAAAAGTGGCGAGAAGAGTATTTGAAAAGTTTTAATGAGTAAAAAGTAAAAAAAACAAGTCCAATTATTACTCCCAAATCCCTACAAATAAACATTTTATCGGTTGAAATTCACCAAAAATGTATAAAATAAATTAAGGTGTATACCCCCCATACCCTAAAATGAAAAAAAAGATATGAATAAAAACACAAAAGAACTACAAGAAAGTATAAAAGATAAAATAATTGCTGAAATCTTTAATAATGATAAGGTGAGTTTAGAAGAAAAGATAAGTTTTTGTAAGGAATTAGAAAGTTTTGGTGAAACCTGACGAACCCTAATTTTTACTAGCGAACTAACCGAGCAAAAAGAAGTAAGAGAAAATGATTTATCCTTAGAGAAATTGAGAATGAATATTAAATAAAACTATGAAATGTAATAAATGTTTAAAGAAAATCCCAAAAGGGGAAGAAATAAGAGTTTATGGAACCCGTGGCAATTATACCTACGGAGGTTGCTATTGTGAAGAATGTTGAAAAACCAAAAATGAATATGAATTTTATGAAGATGGCAAAAAGCCAGATAAAGGGCGAAAATAAAATGCCTACCTGAGGATGAGGTTCAATTATTGTTTTATTATTGTTGTGATTAGCTTTTTTCCTCTTGTGATTAAGAAAGGACAAAAAATAATAAAAAAAAAAAGTTATTTTGATAATTTTTGGAATTTTCCTTTTATTGATAATTGGTCTAGCTATTATTGCAGTTAAATTAGACAAGCAATCGCCGACAATCACTAACGAAAAAGAAACTGATGAAAAAGAAACAAGTAAAACAGATAAAAAATGCTCGTTTTGAAAAAGAAAGTTTTTTGGTCACAAAGGAGGTTTTTGCTGATTTTGTGGTGGTTGACACTGATTTTAAACTATGGATAAGAAAAAAATGAATTTAACTACTTACCAACTAATAATTGTCAAAACGGCGATGACTAGCAGCGATTATGTGAAAATTAACCAACTTTTAAAGCAAATCCAAGGGGAAAAGTATACTTCAAATATTTATAAAGTTCCGACTGCTAAATCGGAAGCAATTATTAAATATTTAGAGCAAGAGCAATTAAATTATGAAATTTATTGGAAAAATGGAAAAGATAGCGAAGATACAATTAATATAATCAACAGTAAAGAAAATGTTAAAGAACAAATTTTAGAGTTAAAAAAGGAAAAGTTATTGAAAGCGTTACAAGAATTTTATATTAAAAAGGGAATTAAGCGTTCTTCAATTAATCCAAATAGTAAGTATGATAGTATTTGAACTACTTATTCACGCTGACAAAAAAAATATCCTAATGAATTACCAACTTTTAAAAAACTCTTAGAGAAATAAAGTTCAGCAACTGTTCGTAAAAAGTTAGATATTATCAAAATAAAATCCTATATAAAATAAATTAAGGAAGAGAAATCCGACTACAAATCGGAAATCAATTCCTTAACCTTTTTGGGAAATTAACTCATTATTCCCACAACCAGCAATCCACCAAAAAAGATAACTGGTTGCGAGTGAATACGGAAGTTAAGTCCTCAAATTAAACCTATCGAGAGTTATTCAATAGAGAGGATAATCAACCGTAAACCTAACAAGACCATTATGAAACTTATAATTCAAGTTAGAGTAATAATGAAAATACCTTATCGGAAAAGGCCGTAGTTGAAAAATCTTAACTTACCGACCTCTCAAAATGAGAACTATATAGCAAAGATATTACTATATTTATTATTTTATAGTTTCGAAGCGAGGCATGGGAAAGGAAATGGTTGTTTTTGCTCCCATTTCTACCCTTTACTTATTTTATAAGTAATAACAAACCAATTAGCCCTTTGGCCTTTCTTTTTCTCTTATTTTTAATTCTCTTTTTCTTTATAAGGTTATTTACCTACATATATATAACCAAAGAGAAATATAAAGAAAAAACCAACCCACCTATCTGATAAACTAAATAATATTATGAACCATAACAAAAAAATTATATGACATACCCAAAAACTAGAATTTTTTATGTAGATGCGGCTCGTAGCATTACCAGCAAAAACGGAAAAAAATATTGAAAGTGTTCAATTGTGGAAAATGGTAATTTAGTGAAATCTTTTGCGAACGGCAGACTTAATATTTCACAATCTACGTCAGCTGAGGCTTATGCTATTCTAAAAACTGTTTATTATCTAATAGAACAAAAATGAACTGGTAAATTGCTTATTTATTCCGATAATGTTGATTGTTGACGAATGATTATAAATAATTATCTGCTTGATGTTGTTATAAAATGTGGTAAAGAGAATGTTGATGTTAAAAAATATTATTTATTCTTGGCTAGAAATTTGGCTCAGGAAAATAATATAGAGTTAAAAGTAAAATGAATAAAAGGAAAGGATAATCCAGCTGACTATCATAGTAGAAACCAACCCAAAGGGTGCGGAAGATGCCACCAGAAAAGATATCTTGTTAGAGAAAGTAATCTTTGTTATAAATGTAAAAATAAAAAGTAAAATAAACAAATAACATTAAAAAATTGTTCTGATAAGGAATTACTGATAGAGTTAAAAGGAAGAATTAAAAAAAAGAAAATTAAATTTGATTATGATGGAGCTAGTCAAACCCATTCTGAATATGGCTGTTGCTCTTATGATTTTCTGTGATGATGTGGATTAAGAAGTAAAGACTATAAATTAGACTTTGAGAAACTGGAACCAATTGAAAATGCAAAATAAAACAATAACAACCCTATACGAACAATATAAAAACTCCCCCAAAAAACTCAAAATAATTTGTGATTGAGACGAGGTCATCCAGTCTTTTGAGCCTTATGCTTTGTGATTGGCAAAAAAATGAGGAGCAGATAATCTAGGAGAAACTTTTGGTAGTTCTTTTAGTAGAAATCGCGAAAGAGTAGGAGGTTCGACATTTTTTAAAGATTTTTGAGATTGTGAAATGGTCAAATATTCTCCTTATGGTTCAAGACTTAATGTTGGGGAAGCAGAGAAATTAAGTTGATTTGCTGAGGTTGCCTTGGAACCTTTGGCAGTCGAAAGACAAATAGAAATCAAAAACTCCCCAGATTTCTACCAACAAGCACCCTTTTTAACTATTGCTGAGGATTTATTGAAACTGATAAAGGAGGACAAAGTAGAAAGTTTAATCTTTTTAAGTGCTTATGATAAAAAGAGGTTTGTATGGGGAGATGAAAGAAAAAGGAAAATATTTCGAGAAACTTTTTCAAATCTTTCCAAGTTCACCGAAGTTGGCAAGAGTGGTTTTTGTGGAAGAAATATTAGATTTCAACTAATCCCTTTTGATAGTGAAGCCCAAGGGCAAAGTAAAGCCGACTGAATTAAACAAAATGCCCCTGACTTTGATTTAGTAATTGATGATAATCCAAATATTTGTAATAGTTTAATTGCAAGCATGGGATCAAGTGCAGATTGTTTAAGAAATGGAGGATGTATTGCGTGTGATGAAGAAATAAAAGTCCTTGCCCCTTACTACCCAGCGGTGGAAAAAGAACATCATAAAGAGGTTTTATTAGTCAAAAATGAAGTTAGTAATTTAAAAAAAGAGGATTTTGGTAAATAAAAATGGTAGAGCAAAATCGTTGCTTAGATTGCTATATTTTACTAAATAGTGGCGATGTTTATTATTCCTCTACTATGCTTTGCAATGGTTGCTATCTGAAAAACAAAAGAGAAGTTGATAAATCGAATCAGCCCAAAGAGGAAAGGGAGCAAATAAAAAAAGAATGATTAGAAAACTTGCAAGCAACTGGTGGTAATCCCAATGATTGGCATTGTAATAATTGCGGATTGCTAATCAAAGAATGTGATTGCGGTGATAATATGCTTCCGGTTCCTCTCCAAAAATAATATGGAAAGCAAAAAACTAAAAACTAAAATCAAAGAATTTACGAAAAAATATTTTGTTTACTATCAGAATGACAAAAGAATACCGGATCAAGCTAAGCAAGAATTAGCAAGGTTGGGAGCAACTAAACCTTTTTATGCGGATAATGAAGAAGAAAGGTCAATCAAGTTCAGTAAAATGTTGTACTCTGAAGAAATCTGAATTAGGTCTACGGTTGAGGTGGAAATTCGCAAATATTTTTCTACCAACACTATTAGCGACACCCTTTCCTTATTTGCCGAAATTAGACTTTACCAAACTAATTTAGAAACTAGAATACAAAAGATGAAAGAGGCACGAGAAAGAAAAAAATACGAGTTTTAAATATCTAGATATTAAGGTATGAAGAATAAAATAATTAATATATAGTAAATAATAATATTAAAAATATCACAAAAGACAATATGGTAAATAATACAAATCAATTACAAAAAATAGAAACAGAAAAACAAAATTTAATTGAAATTATCCGAGAAAAGAATGACGAATTGGATAAATTAGAGTGTGAATTAAGCGTGCTGGACTTCCATCAATCACGAGAAATATCAGACTTATTCGCCAAGAAACTCACTTTAGAAGAAGAAATTAAAGAACAAGAACTGCTTATTAAAGAACTAACTATTAGAGCTGAACGAGGAGAAGAGGATGCAGAAATTCATTTCAAGGCTTTGACGAAAACCAGCAAGGAATGAAATGAAAAAAAATTAAAATGATGAGTAGAAGTATTTTATAAAAAACTGCTTGACTTAAATAAAGTTAGAAATTGAACTATTGAGTATAACGAAAATATACACAACATCGAAACGAAGAAATTAGAGGACAAATTATCAGATAAATCGAGTGAATTAAAAGAAATTTTACAGCTGTTGGAAAGTTCTCGTAAGGAGACAGAGAAAGAAAGGACAGAAAAAAGAAAATTAAAAGAAGAAGCAAATAACTGAGAGAAATTATTGGAGGCAGCTCGGAAAGAAATTGAACGAGAAAGAAAAGAAAAAGAAGTTTTAAAAAAGGAAGTTGTAGAAGAGAAAAACGAAACTAAAAAGTGGAAGGAAAGGTTTCATGCGGCTACCAAATCCTTACCTAAAAAACCAAGCAAGTTTAAATTATTCAAAGAGAAAACAAAAACCAAGCTCCAGCACTTGGTAGAAAAATCTAAACGGCAAAGCCAAGAATTAATTGCTAAAATAGAAGTTAAAGTCAAGTAAAAAAAATGAGGGAATTACTTTACACAATTTTAGAGTTAGAGAAATGGAACAGAATGGCTACCTGTGACCTTTGTTCCCAATTTGAAAACCGAGAAAATAAAGCGGTTTGTCAAATAAGGATGCGAAGTAAAGTAACTGGGGAAATGGTTAGTAATGTTTGTGTATGTGCTAGATGTAAAGAAAAATTTGAAGAGGATGAATTACCTAAATGCGAAAGGTGCGGCAGATTAAAAACTCAATCAAACTTTGAATTTAGTAGCGGTAAATATGTTTGTGATTGCATCAGGGATAATGAAGACTTAGAAGAAAAAGAACTCCCACTTTTACCTGATGAAGAGATAAGCCAAACTGCTTTCTATGAACGCCAAATAAATGCCCTGCAAGAAAAAGAAAGTCAGTTAACCGAAGAAGTCGATACCCACTTAGAAGCCTTAGAAATTGCGGAAGACTGACACAAAAGACAAAAACAAGAGCTATTAGATAAAATTAAGGAGTTGGAAATAAAAGTTAATCAATTAAGTCAGGAAAATAAACAATTAAAAAAACTAAATGGAATAGAATCTTACGAAAAAGAAATTACCGAATTAAAAAGTCAATTAGCCCAACTAACTTCGCAGCAGCAACAAACTGCCCAAATAGAAACTCCAGCTAAAGATAATAGTAATAAAATTAGAAATCTTTTTAAATTTGGGTCAAAATAATTTACTTACTACTCAGTTTGGAGATAAAATTAGGTAGTTAACTAATTTTACCACTAAAAAAGTATCATATAAAAGTATTGTAGGAATTATTAAAAAAACTGGATAGTTCTAATACTACTAAGCCAAACGATAAAACTACTTTTGTGGAGTAGTTTTAATTGGTTTGGTGCTTATAATTGTGAAAAAGAGCAAATAAGTAAAGAGGGGTTGGTAAAAAAAGCTAAGTATAATTAATTCTCTTTTAATCGCTTTTCTAGTTTTGCTTTCTCTTTTTGCCTATTAGATAACCAATTCCCAAAGCCGAGACCACGGCCAAGACAACGGCACCACCAACTAATAAAGGGGCATTATTACCATTTTCCTTATTATCAACCGGTTTAATCGGCGAACTTCCCTGCTGAATAAGAGCCTGTAAATATTGAGCATTTTGCTGTTGGCTACTATTACCCCCACTAACTAATTTTTGAGCGTATTCCAGTAAATCCAACAGCACAGTTCCTTTTCAAGAATTAACTCTGATTTTTTTCTCTTTTATCCCTTTTACTAGTTTTTCAAATTGTTCGCTAGTTAAATTATCCAAGTTTTTGGTACTTAATGGATTATTTTCGCAATTCAGATACTCCAAATTAGGAAAGGCGCTTAATAAATGACTTAAATCTATTTCTTTTATTTGATTACCAAAAAAGTTTATTTTCTTTAACTGTTCTTTATTGGGTAAAGTATTTAAGAAGTCCAAGTTTTCAAATTTATTATTGTAAGAATTGAGACTAGTTAGAGCAGTAAATTCTTTTAAATCAGCATCACCAGTTAAATCTCTATTACTGATATCGAGGTATTTTATTCTTTTGTGATTGGTAAGTTGGCTAATATGTTCTTGGGCTTGGTTAGTCATATATTTATGATTTTAAGAGATAAAGAGAGAATTATTGGCCTAAAATGACTATATGACCGAAAAAGCGGAATTAGGAAAAACCAGCGAATACTCCCTAAATACTAAAAAAAACGGGGAAGTCCTGGAATTACACAAGCAATTTAAAAACTAAATTATTTTTTTGGGTTTTTTAAGGAGATTTAGGAGGGGATTGAAGAATTTTGGACCGCTGTTGATTTTTATGTTGTTCTTGTTCAATTGAAAAAAGTATTTTCTTTTTAATCTTTTCGGCCACTTGGTCTAAATTGTCATTAACCGTAAAAATGTGGTCGTATTCTTTGATAAAAGGTGTTTCTCTCCCATCAATAATTAATCGTTTTTTTATTTCTTCTTCCCTTTCACCTCGTTTTCGTAAATTGGACATTAATTTGTCCCGATGGGGTGGTTGTAATCAGAAAGAAATAATCTTTTCCTCTCACACTTCTTTCATTTTTCGAAATCCCTCTACATTAGCAATTTGAAGTACATTTTTAGTCAACAACTCCTTCTTTAAACTGTTTAGTGGAATTCCGTAATAATTATTATTATATTTAACGTAATTTAAGAATTGATTATTAACAACTCTTTTTCGAAATTCTTCCCTACTCACAAAATAATAGTCTTGACCGTCCATTTCTCCTCGCCTTGGTGGGCGGGTAGTAGAGTAAATTAATTGCTGACTGTTTAGTTCTCGATAAGTTGATAGTCTTTTTGCTATTTCGCTTTTTCCAACCCCACTAGGTCCAGAAATAATAATTAGCACAAATTTCCTAATTAGTTTATCTTTTTGCCCCATTTAATTATTGGTTTTCTCAATTTTTTCCGAAGATGTTTTTATTTTTTTTGCCTCACTTGAAGCGCCTTTTACTGCTTCTTTTATAAATAATTTTATCATAAAGTTAGGTTAACAACATTTCATTTTAACTCAAAAAAAATAAACCATATGCCAAAACTTAATTTAACCAATATCACTATCAAAAAATTGGAGGACAAAAACTTCAACACTTATTATCTGATAGTCAATAATGATAATCGAGATGAAGCTTTTTTTTGCTTTGAAAAAGCGGTCAAAGAGGGCTGAGATAGTTTAGTAAATAATTACAAAAATATAAAAGAAGTAGAAATAGAGTTTGAAATTAATGATCGCGGGAATAAGAAAGTTATTAGTATTTTTTCTCCCCAAACAGTAGAATTTATTGTTTAAATTTAAAGTCAGTTACTAGAACCCAAAAAAGAGTAAAATAATAATATAGGTAAAAAAAATACATATATAATAAATGAAAACCAAACCGGAAATAATTTCTTCGCAAAGATGAGTATTTTTAACTGAAACGGGAAGGACAATAACAGTGATAATGAAAGTTCGCCAGTTTACCCAAGAAACCCGACCAGAGTTCCCCGAAGGTTATAAAATTAACTGAATTGCTTATAATGAGGAAAACCCGGATGAAAGAATTATTTTAGATAATCATCATGGTAAAAGTTTACATTGGCATGATAACGAAAAAGAGGAAAGTTTTTTGGAATGAGTTTCGTTAGAGGAAGCAAAAAGACTATTTCACCAGAGAATTATTGCCAAGTTTGGTTTACCCATCAATGAACTATAATGAATAAAAATATCAAAACATTTACTTTTAAATACGATCCAAGTGGCAGTTTAGACACAATGTTCACTAATATGGAACATGCTATCAGGACTGGAAAAAAAAATATTCAACCAAAAAATATCATCATGAGTAACAGCTTGGAAGCCATTTATCGCTCTATCACTCCTAGTCGCTGAGAAATTTTTACTTGCTTAGTGGAAAAGAAGCCGAATAATTTAACCGAATTAGCCCATTTATTAAATAAGGATTACGCGAATGTTTGAAAAGATATTCGGGCTTTGGAAGGATTAGAAATCATTAAACTAAAAAAAGAGGGCAAAGAAATACGACCAACTGCTTTATACGACCGAATAGTTTTTGATTTGCCAGTTATTCCCTCTCATAAACCATTAGAAAATATCCAATTGCTTGCTAAATAAATATGTCAGAATTCAATTTCTCTCTCACCTGTCCCAAATGTCAAACTCCTTTAACTGCCCAAGATTTTGACAATAATCACTTCACCATCGCTCACTTACAATCTTACTTTCAGCAAAAAGAGGCGGAGTATAAACAACAAATCCGCCAACAAATGGAGCAAGAAATTGAAACTTTACCCACTTTTCAGCAATTAAAATCCGAGAATGAAAAACTGAAACTAATAGTGGAAGGCTACAAATTAGGCTCCACTAAAACTAGTAAAGCCAAAGGAGAAGAGTTAGAAAAATATATTTTAGAGAAATTACAAGAAACTTATAATGGCACTGATGAAATTAGCAAAATAACCCATATCGGCGAAAAAGCTGATATTATTCACACTATCCACAAAGGCGACCAACAATTAGCCAAAATCATTTATGAAATAAAAAATGTGGATAAATGAGATAATAAATGGTTAGAGAAAATAGAAAAAGATATGGTCAAAGAGCAAGCTGACTACGGAATTCTGATTGCTGTTTGCCGAGCTGGTAATCCCTTGTGAAAGCCTTTTCCTTCTAAGAATATTCTAGTCAGTGATGACGATAATTTTCTCTTTGCCAGTCAGATGACTCGCTTATTATTACTCAGTAAAAAGCGAGTAGAAACCGAAGAAAGACCCGAAGAGAGAATAAAAAAATGGGAAGAGTGAATTAAAGAAAAATTACCTAATTATTTACTAAATTTAGAAAAATATTTTACGGAGTGAGAGAAGGACATAGGAAGAATAAATACCAGCGTGAAGAGTATGGTGGAAACAAAAGAAAAAATTAGGAAAGTAGTTTTAGAACAGATGGAGGGGGAATTAAGGGGAATTTAGATTTCGACCTAACCTAGTTTACTTCTTATTCATTTATAAATTAGTCAAACTAACGCAATAACTATTCCTCAGGCGATAATTTTACTTGCTGCTTCGGTATGTTTTTCCCGTTCTTGTATTTCCTTTCATTGTTTATTTATCTCTTCTAACTCTTTATTTATTTTTTCTGTTTCTTCAATTTCTTTTTCTAGGCTTTTAGCTTCTTGTTCGGCTTCTTTACGGGTGAGATTACGACGTTTTTCTTTTAGCAGTCCGGCGTCGCGGGCTTTGGCTAATATCCGTAAATAAATTACGCAGACTTGAAATTCTTTTTCTAATTCGGCTTGGGTTTGGCAATTGGCAAATCGAGCAAAATAATCGGTGCTTTTCCCAGGTTGAAAAGCCTCTTTTTGGGTTAAGTTTAAAATTTCCAAAAGCACTTCAATTTTGGTTTTTACTAGTCAAAGGTCATCTTGTTCCAGCGGAGCATTATTGACTTTATTTTTTCCAGTCAGAACTTCGTAGGCTTCGCCAATTTCTTTAAACTTTTCCTCGGCTTCTTCCTTGGTTTGGGCGAGGTGTCTAGTCGGATTATTATCAAATTTATCAGGATGCCATTTTAGAGCTAACTTTTTGTAAGCACTTTTAATTTCCTGGTCGGTGGCTTTTTGGTTAATTTCTAAAATGTTGAAGGCTTGGTTTATTTCCATTTTTATTTAAAATTACTTCTCCCTCACTTGTAAACTAATCAAATTATGAAGGCAATTGCTAATCCCCCACCACCATAGAGAGCGATATCCCCTAAATCTCACTTATTTTCTAGTTCCTGCTTCTTCCTTTCAGCTTCCTCTTGGTTGGCTTTGGCTTTCGCAGTTTCTTCTAAAATCCGCCGCTCTTCTTCTCTTGCTTGGGCTTTTTTTATTAAATATTTTTCTATTCTTTCTGGTAATTGCTCCAAATTAGTTACTTGATAATTATCTTGGCATTTTTTTAAACTGGCAATTAACTTTTCCCGGGATAGTTGGCGGACTTCTTGGTTAGGTTCCACATTCTGACCAGATAAAGACGGATTATTAACATGAACAATTTCTCGACAATTTTTAAACATGGCGGCTATTTGTGGGTTTTCAGGATTTTTTAAAAGATTTATTTCAGCTTGGCAAGCTTCTTCGTCTTCAAAATTGCTGTATTTAGTGCAAATAATACTAATAAATTCGCCAATATCTTCGGCAAAAGCCACTGACGAAATTAATTCATAGGCTTCTTGAACTTCGGGGGTAATTCTCCCGTCAACGGTAAATAATATTTGACTTATTTTGCCTTTTGTTAAATCAACCGCGTTGACTATTTGCTGAGTTAGTTCAGAAATATTTGGGTTGTTAATTCCTGGTATTTCAATTAGGCGATAATCAGTATTATTAATTCTGGTTTCTACACTTTTAATATTATTACTAAAAGCACTTTCGGGAAATATTTCGGCAAAAACTCCGCTTCTATTTAGTAAAGTATTAGCCAAGGCTGATTTACCGCTATTAGCACAGCCAACTATCAGAATATTTTTAATTTTTTGCTCCTTTTCGCTTTCTGTTTTTCACCTTTTTATAATCTCTTTACTGTTTTTTTCAGTTAGAAATTCGGTAAAGTCGGTTTGCTTCCTTTTGGTATTTAGGTAATTTTCTAGTCCGTGGGCTTGGCGAATTCAGGTAAAAACTTTATCTCAGTCCAAATTTTCTTTGCGGGTGGGTTTTTCTTCTAATCAGGCTTGGAATTGGGCTAATTCGGTCATATTACTTTGCTCTCTCTCTCTCTCTCTCTCTCTGCTTCAATTCATTCTTCCCCCCTCTCCATTGCTAACTCTGGGTTATCCACTTCCATTTTTCATAAAGATAGGACTCTTTCAACTGAGTAATACAAATGGCGATTACTTAGATATTCAATTAAGTCCAAGTTTTTTGTTTGGATTTCTTTAATAATTTTCTCTCACTTAATTGGGGTTCCTTCGGGTGGTTCTGGATTTATACCTTGGAAATATTTTCCTTGGGAGTTCCTTTCCTTATTGAGCCAGAGTTTAAAATCTTCCAAATTGTAGTCAGTCATATTTTTAAAAATCTAAATATCTTTTGGCTAATAAATAAAGAAAAAAGATAATACCGCCAATTATAACACTAGGAATACCCATTTTGGCTAATTTTCCGCTAAATCAGTTCTGATTATTTTCAGTATTATTTTGCTGTTCTAACTTTTCTTTTTCTTTCTTTTGCTGGGCTAGTTCTATATGGGAGTTAGCTAGTAAGTTTTCATAATGGTTAATAATAGTTTGGTAATCTTTTTTTCCAGCTTCTAGTTCCTTTTTTAATTCTTCATATTCGGCCAAAGAAACCCCCGCTTCTTTGTTTCTTAACTCTTCTACTAAATTATCTAATTCTTCTTCGCGGATGCTTAAAGTAGCTTGTAATTCGGTTAATTTTTGTTCTTTGGCGGCTAGTTCTTTACTAATTGGCTCTTGCTGGTTTTGGTTTTGTTGTAATTCCGTTAATAATTGAATTTGTTCGCTCTCTAATTTTTGGTTCTTTTCCTTTAAATATTGAATTTGGGCTTGGTATTTCCGTACTTGGAGCGTTTGCTGGGTTTGCTGACTAAGCACTTTTTCTAAATCGGTTTCTAACCTTTCTCTACTGTGGCGGTATTTCTTTTCCTTTTCGTTTAGTTGCTGGCACCGCTGACGAAGTTTATTTATTTGCTGGTCTTTTTCCTCTAAATTGGTTTCTAAATTAGTTAAGTTTTGGTTTTTTTGTTTAATTTCTTGGTTGGCCTGCCTTATCTCTTGCTCTTTTTGTTTTATTTGATTTTGTAAAACGATTAATTCTTGTTCTAAAAACTGATTAGTTTGATTTAGTTCTTGACTTTCCGCCTCTTTTTTTTCTAGTTGTTTAATTAGTTCAAAAAGCCTAGTTTGGTTCGTTTCTCCTACTCCTTGCTCTTGTATTTCAGTTAGTTGCTTAATCAATTCTTCTTTTTCCGTTATTAATCGGTTAATAGTTGCTTCGTTTTCGTTAATAGTTTCCGTAGCTAGTTTTAATCATTCTAATAATTGTTCCGGATTAGAATATTTTTTCTCTTTTAGGTAAGAAACACGAAAGGCGGGATGGAAAGGCATTTTTAATTAATTTTTACCAACTTCCCTACATATAAACAATTAACATGTAAAATAATAAATATAATAAGCATGCGACGAAAAAGAACTATTAAAAGAGAAATTGGCAATATAGTCAAGCCAAGTCCAACAAAATAACCTATGGAACTAATTTTACTAATTCCCTGAGCCGCAGCCGTTGGTTTAGCCTATTGAAGTTTAGACACAATTGGTTCGAAATTAAAAAAAGATGACGCCGTTCTTTATCAAAAGATTGTCGACAACAAAGATGACACCGACTGGTTAAAAAACGAAATTGCGGCCGCGGAAAAACTAAAAAAAGATAATGAAAACTTATTAGCCGAGTTGGAAAAAAAAATAGAAAATGATGAAGCTAAGGCTGATGACCCTGCGACCTTAGAAACTAAAAATAAATGTGGTGAAAATATTGACAAGCACCAAAACACCCTCAACCAACTCCAAACCATCCAAGATAAAGGATTAGACAGTTATGATTGGTCTTTTTCTAATATTGGCTGAGCGGTGGTAATATTTTTGGGAGTAGGAGCGATTGGCCAACTTATTACCAAACAAATTATGAAACTTTTTAATAATGACGAAAAATAAAAAAACATTCTCCTATGGAGAAAAACAAATAAAAAAATATGGACTGAAATAGTTATTGAACCTGAATAAAAGATAAAGCTCTGTGAGTCTGAGGAAATTGAAAAACAGTTTTAGTAGTATTGGTGATTATCCTGATAATTTTCTTAGTTATTAAGTGAATAGCGGGAGCGACGAAAAGAAATTAAAGCAAATAAAAATATGTTAGAAATTAAAAGTGGTTCACTGGTAGCCGAAAGCCAGCAAATAAGTAAAAAAATATGAAAGCAATTATAATTATTATAAGTTTATTATTATCCGCCGCAACGGGATGATTTTTCCTCCAATGGTGATGTTCTAGCATTAGTGAAAAGTTAAAAGAAGTTAGAACGACCGATGAAATTAAAAAAATAGCCGAAGGCACTGATGCGGAAATAAAAGTTGAAAAAGAACAGTTAGACCGAGATATTGCCCAAAAAGAAGGCGAATTAAATGATAACGACACCAATGAGGATGACAAACCTAATATTCAAGCCGAATTAGCCAAGATGAAAAAAGCCAAAGAACTTTTACAATCCGTAGTAAAAAAAGAAGATTTAGCCAAAAAGAATTACAGTTATTATGATTATGCTTATGCGGGTGGAATTAGTTTATTAGTTTCCATAGTAGTTTATTGGTTATTAAGTATAGTATTTAGTAAAGCCAAAGCCACTGAATAAAAAGAAATTGCAACAAGAATTAAAAGAACATGTTAGATTGAATTAAAAATTTTATGAATTGACCCAAAGGTGGGGTAAAAAATATTGGTGAATTTGGTGCTTATTGTAAAGTCCACTGACTATCCTTAGTGATATTAGTTATTGGGGCTTTAATAGTTTTTTGATTAATAAAAAAAGTATTTAGCCTGATAGGTAATATGCTTGGAAATTAAATTATTATTAGAAAATTTAAAGAAAAATTATGCCAGCACCAGTAGTAGTAGCCGCAGGATTCGGACTTTGAAAAGCAGTTGCCTGAATAGGATGTGCCGTCGCCGGAGCTTGGGCAACAAACAAAATAGCCAAGTCTTTCGGAAGTACTCCGCAAAACGATTTACAACAAATACCGGCAATGAAAGAACGAATACAACAGCAAAACGACATTGTTAAAGAAGCCAGAAAGTATAAAAAAGATAAATTGAAGTATCATAAAGATGTAAGTCAAGATCTGCGTTCTGACTTGGAAAAAATAAATAGGAAAATTGAGGCAGCACAAGAAGAAAGAAATTCAATAGCCCAGGAGTTAAAAGAGGCCAATAAAGATGGAGACACAGAAAAAATCAAAATACTTACTGCAAAATTAGAAAGTGTTGACGGACAACTGGCTGGCTACATTAAAGAACGAGATGATAAAAAGAAAGAAGTGAAAGAATCAGAAGAAAAAATAGATGATATTTATGATAAATTAGGTGACCCCGACACTATGACCGAAGCACAATATGTTTCCAAAGCTAATTCTATTAACTGAACTAGTTGAAAAAATTGAGGAATAATTGCTATTTGTATTTTTGTAGTGGTAATGATAATGAGCATTCTGAAATCAGTAGCTGCTAAAATTAAAAGTTCTATATAAAAACTATGAATTTCCTCAAAAACTTCTGAAAAGACCAGCAAAAAGACAACGATAATAGAAGTTAATTATTAGATAATCTAAAAGTCGGTCTCAGGTTTCCAGTTTTTCAATTCCTCGCATTGTCATTCAGTTTTGATTATTTTCCCTTTTTTATTAAAAGTAATTATTTGGCTACATCCGATAGTTTTTTTACTTGGATTAGTTTTTATTTTTTTATTTTTAACCTTATTCATATTTAACTATTTTAATAATTCATGACCAAATATCAAATCACCGAAAACCAATTAAGAAATTTAATAAATGTACAAACCATCACCAATAGTGGCTGTAAAATTGGCTTTAGAGAAGGTAAACCTTTTGCCGGTAAAGAAGGTCACGAAAATTGTTCTGCTTGTTTAGGAAATTATTATAATGGTGGTGCTTGTAATTATAATACAACCCATACTTTTGAAGATGATTTGTCCCGTATTACCCAGAATTTTGCCATAATGGATAATTTATACCAAGCCCATTGTCAATTAAAAGAAATTACTGAGCAAGAATTATTTACTGAGCGACAGGAAGAATTATATAAAGTTGTTGGGTCGGCTATGGAACATTGCACCAATCCGGGCTATTTTTTTTCTTATACTTGTCCGGGAATACATAGAGTTCCAATGGAATTTCGCAGCACTTTTACCCAAAAATTAGACCAATTAAATAAAGGTCTCGCTAAATATTTAAAGCAAATAGAGCAAATAACTCCTGAGAATATAAAAACTTTTACGGCTTGGTTAAAGAAAATTAAGCAATTAGAAAAAGAAAATGAACAAAAAGCTGAGGAGTATAATCGTCTCAGTATTAATTTAACTAATGCTCCACGAGCTAAACAATTAAAAAAAGAAATGGCGGATAATGAAGAGCAAATTAGAATGACGATTGATAAATTAGATACCCATCCCGCTTTTCCCTTATTTGATACTGAAAATGAAGAGATTTTAAAAAATACTAAAAAAGCCTTAGTCGAAGATTCCCCGAATAATTTTTGGGCTGGTTTAGGTAAAGCCAAAGGGCAAGGTAATTGAACTGGTGCCGATAAACCGCAACTAAAAGACTTTAACCCGACCAAGAAGGATAATTCCGAAGAAACACCTGACAAGAAACCTTTAATTGGCAATTGAAGTTTGCCAGATATTTTATGATATGGAGGAATTGGCTTAGCTGTGGGGCTGATTCTGATTTTAGTTTATAAGTGAGCGAGGGGAGGAATTAATAAGTAGAAAAAATAACAGAAAATAATATGTTTCCACAAAGTACAATAGAATATAAAGACGATGGATGCAGCGGAGCAACAGCCTTTTTCACTGGAAACTGAGCTGGCTCTGACATAGTCAAAGACTGAAAATATAAGGGATTTCAATTGGTAGCAAACTTTCACGGCTACCGCTGGGCTTTGAAAAGAAATACTGATTGAAAAGTATTGTGAATGGATTGAAAAAGTAAAGTCGATAGTGAACTACAAGAATATGGTGCTTCTAGTTGAAGCGATTACCAGAAAAAATACCGAGAAAGAGAAAAAACAAACAAAGAGGGAAGAACAAAAAAAGAAAACAAAAAAGAGCAAACAGAAGAGGAAAAAAACAAAAACAAGAGTGGAAAACCTGCTAATGTGGATAAAGACTCCTGACAAAATCTTTTAGAGGAAATTAAAAATCTAAAAGCAAATAAAACTAAAACTGAACCAGAAAAAGTTGAAGATTTAAAAAAAATGATGGCCGAAGTAGAAGCCAAGAATAGAGAAAATATGAAGGAAGTAAATAAGTATGTTGAACAAGTGCAAAATGAATCGCTTGCCAACGGAAAACGATTACAAGATGCGATAAATAGAAATGATAAACGAGCCGAAGCAATTTTATTAGCAAAACATGACAAATTACAAGAAGAATTAGGTAATGCTCTTTTAGAAAGAGAAAATGTACCCGGTCAAAAAGATTTTAAGGAGTATCTCGAATTATTAAAAAAAGAAGAGGGATCTTTTTGGGAAAATATTAATATTGATTGAAAAAGTCCACGAACTTACGGCTATTTTACTCTTTTATTGGCGATTATTTTTGCTGTTCTTGCTCTTTTTATGTGAATATGAAACCAAGTTAAATCTTATCTTTCTTCTAATAATTAATAAATCATGACTTACGAAATAACCAAAGAAGACTTTTTATTTATTGTCAACAAACCACGATGTCGGGGTACCGAAATAAGAAATGGTAACGAAAAAGAGGGTCACGAAAATTGTGGCAATTGTAAAGGTAATTATTTTGTGGGCGGAGAATGTAATTATGGCGGTCGGCACACCATGGAGGAAGAGTTAAAACAAGTTAATAAAAATTTTGAGCAATTTAATGGTTTAGTTAAAAAAAAAGGTAAAATCAGTGAGGCTAAGAGCGAAAGCAAATTTCAGAAAAGAAGGGATAAATTAATCAATGAGTTCCAAGAATTAAAAAAAAAATGTGATGGCGAAGGCAAAGAATTTTTTCAAGGCAGTTGTATTGGGTTAGACGGTTCACAAAAGGGTTTTACCAAAAAAATAAAAGAAACTTTTTTTTTATTAGCAGAGGGATTAAAAAATTACATAAGAATAGTTCAGAATACCACTTGGGAGAAAATAAGAATTTTCCGCGAAAACCTAGAAAAATTAGAAGCGTTGAGCAACAAGTATACTGGATTAGTCAAAGAGTATGACAATGAGAAAGACCCCGTTCGCAAAGCCCATTTATTTGCTCTTATGGCGGAAAAACAGAAAGAAATCGCCGGTTTTAGATTGGAACTAAATAAAGATCCACTCTTTGAGTTATTTAGTAAGGAAAAGGACGAAGAATTAAATAATATTGTCAAAAATATTTTCCATGGCGATGGACAGTTTTTCAAGTGAAAAACAGAAAGAGAAGAAGAGGATAAAAAGGAGCAAGAGGAACAAAAAAAATATCTGGGATTTATTTCGAAAAAATGAGGTAAGAGGATTTTATGAGGTGGCGGAATATTTTTATTAGTATTTTTTGTTTATTGGGCTTTTAAGAAATTATTAGCCGCAAAATTTTAAGGACATGTTAGGTTTTTTTAAGAAATTAATTTTTGGTTTAGTATTTTTGGCCGTAGTAACTCTTTTAATAATATTGGGAGTGATTGGTTTTTTTGTTTGAAAAAACTATGAAATTGATCAACAAAGAATGGATATTGAGCATGGAAGAGAGGAAGAACGTCAGAAAAAACTTAAAGATGCCGAAGACAGGAAAAAAAGAGATGATGCTTTACAAAAAGCCTTACATGACAAAAATATTTTTAATCCGGAGGGCAAGGGTACTATCATTACCGCTAAAAATGTCCATCACTTAGGAATTCGCAATACAAATGGGGCTAATTTTGAGTGCAATAGTGAACAATGTCACATAAATCCGTCCGCACCAACCTTAATTTTTTCTGAGAAGATAAATACTTATATTCATAATGTTTTGTATGATATGGTATCTTTCCGCAACCAAGAAGACTGAAAGACTGATGATTATGATGACCCTTATTCTAAATATCTGAAAAGAAATAATGCGGTGATGTACGGAGCGCCCGGCACTGGCAAGACAGAACTTATTAACGAATTAGCTCACCATTTATACCAAAAATTTAATAATCCGGAAATTGAAAAAACTAAAAAGGAAATAGAACAGTTGGAAAAGAAATTAGAAGAAGATCAGAAAAAGTATGAACAAGAAAAAGATCCCAATATACCAAATAGTAAAAATCCTCAATGGCTAGAATTAGAGAATAAAAAAAAATCCATAGAACAGAAAAAAAAGGACTTAAAAACATTAAAAGAAAAAAACCTAATCCCACCGATAATTCAAGTAGACGGAGCCCGCTTACAATCCGGGGGAGAAGTTTTAAAAGACCTTAATCCCGAACAAAAACTAATTGAAATTATTAAACATTATAAAAAAAAGACACTTGGTCATGAGTTTAGTGATAAACCTTATATTGTTTTTATCGAAGAAGCCGACCAAGGAATAAATGCACTGGGTAAATCAGGACGAGCCGATGAAAAAAATAAAGGATTGCTCGAAGAATATAAAAATTTCCTTTCTAAAAGCACTGACCAAGAGGGATTAAAAGGAGATGCCCAAGACCTTAACTCGATTATTATTATTGCTACCAACAATTTTGAAAGTATTGACCCTGCTGTGTTCCGTCGTGGTAGATTAGGAGAAAAACTTAACTTTAATTGAACTCCTGACATGCTAGAACAATACGGAAAACAAGGCGACAACAATTGAAAAAATAAAGAAGCAAGAACCTCGGACTGACCAATAATTAACTGACCGAAAAATGATCCTGCTTGGCAATTTGTTGGTAATCCTAATTTCCCGGAATTATATAACATGGCCACGAAATTTGGTTATTCGAAATTTTGTAATGAATTTGCTCGCACTGGTAAAGCCAACGAAATAATTAAATCCTGAGAAAACATGACCAAGGAAGAAAGAGAAGCTAAAGAAAAAGAATTAGGCTATTTTAAAACTGGGAAGAAAACAAAGACTGGAGAAAAAATAAAAAAAGATGGTGTAGAAGTGGACGAAGAAAAAGACGAAACAAAATGTAATTGATTGCTACACTTTTTGCATACCTTTCACTATTTTAATGAAACTAGCATGCTTCACACTTTTAAAAATGCTAGCCAAATTATGAGATATGATTTTGGTAATTCCTTCTTTACACGGGAAGCTATTTGAAATATTTATACCCAAATAGGAATCCAAACTAAACTTTTAAATGTAACTAATGACCTAATAACTGAAATAGGGATTGGAATAAATAATGTTAAGGATTTAATGCAAAAAACTCATGATATGCGCCAAAAAGTGGCTGATTTGGAGGCAGCAGTTAAAGATGTAGAAGCAGAAGTAAAAGGTGATTGGGAAAAAGTTCAAATGCAATTAGCAATTATTAGAAATAATGTGGAACGGGCTGGTGATCATTCTGGTTTGGCTAATCGGGTCTCGGCTTTGGAAAGTACCATATCTAGTTTAAAAAGCAGTGGTTCCAGTTCGAGTGGTGGTGATATTTCTTCTGCTAAGTCTAATACGCTAATTGGAATAAGCAATACAATTAGACAGTTGTTAAACGAATTAAGTAGTTCAATTCCCTCGGATAAATATGATGCTCTTCACCGAGCGCTGAATAATTTAAACAGAGAATTTTAGAAAATAATATGTTAAATTCACTAATCAAAGGAATAATCCTAGTAATATTTGTAATAGTCGCAATAGTTTTTTTCTTTTTTTTCTGACCCCAAAAATCTGAACCATCGCCAGTGCCACCAAAAGTAGCAGAATTAGTAGAAGAGCAAGAAAAAAGAAAAGAAATTGAAAAGACCACTAAAGAGAAATTACTTCGTCAAAAAGATGCCCAAGACTTATTAACAGAAGAAAAAATGCGGGAATATTACGAAATTCCTGAAAAGTACGCAACTAAGGAAGAAATGAATAGAGAAATGGGAAGTCGCTTGCGGGCTTATTTTGAATACGCTGTTGAAAATAATTTATCTTATCATGGATGTATTCACAAAGACTTGGAAGAGAGGGCAAAAAAATATTACACTTATGGTGGACATTTCAGATTTGGTGAGAAATATGTCGAGGGAATTAGTAAAAAGGGGACAAACGACTTTATAAGGATTTTTAATGGTAGTGAATATGATGGAGCAATAGATGATTTTACTGTTGGTGAAGACCACTTTTTGTTTTTTTTAAGAGAGTGAAGTAAAAAAATAATAATTTTGGAAAAAGAGATAGAAAAAAAAATAAAAGATTATATTCGATTCAAAATCAAAAAAGTAGAAAAAAGTTTGGATCACGAAGAAAGAAAGGATTATCCGATTGCCGATTTAACAAATGCCTTAAATTATTATAGAGATTATAAATTATTTCATAAATTTTTTGATAAACTTTATAAAAAGAAAGTAAGGATTGACCCCGAAGTTTTACAACACTTAAAAAAATGAAAGGAACTGTGAGTAAGTTGTGGAGTTTATAAATAGAAAACTAGAAATTTTACTAATTCCTTATTTAAAGCCTCCTGATGCAGCAATAAGTCCAATTATTACAAACACTATTATTAAAAAAATTGCTATTCCTATTCCACTACTGCTACTCTCAACTTTCTCCTCCTCCTTTTTCTTTTGCAATTTTAATTTACAGCGATAAAATCTTTCTTGGTCATTTTCACCATTGGGTTCTAGGGTTCCTTTAAAAATAAGAAAGTCATCCTCTTTTTGTTGCTCATAATCTTCTAATTCTTTATCCGTTTCTTCCTCCTGCTCACTTTCTGGATTTCTTTTCTTAATTATCAATTTCGTGGGATAGAGGCTAATATAAACAATTCCTAGCGAGTTAGTTGGTAAATGACAAACTCATAAAGCGGGATTTTTGATATTAGTGTCTGGTTTTTGTCAACCTTTTGGAATTTTTAGATAAAGCAATCCTCCTTCTTGGAGGATTAGTTCATCAGTTATTTTGTTGAGAGTGATGAAAAAGGTTAATTGGTTTTTCACTATTTCTATTTATGTTTTTTTTGCTTTCTTTTTCTAATACGTCGCACTATTCAAATAATGCCTCCGATTAAGGAAATTCAAAAGACACTGGCTATTAGATAATAAGGTCATTCTTTACTCTCGCGGTTTAATATTTGGTTTTGGTAATTATTCTTAGCCTCACGCAAACTTTCTTTTTCGCTTTTGCTTAAAGATAAACTATCGATGTCTACATATTCGCCATTTTTAATTTTCTGATAAGCCGACGCTCAAGTAAACTTTTCGCTGTCGTGGGGCTTTTTAGGAACTTTGGGGATCCTTTTTTCTGGTGCCGAGTCATTTTCGGTATTTTTAGAATTATCGGATGGATTTTTTTGATAATCTGACATAAAATCGTCAAAATCTTTCTGTTTTTTTCCCTTTTGTGCGTCGCGAACTTTCTTATCTATACAACGTTCACATGAAGTTCCCGTTTTATTTTTAGCGTCAGCGTAATAACTTTTGCCAGTAATTATTTGATTACATTGGTCACATCTTTCTTCCGTGCTTTGGTCGTTGTCTTGATTTTTTTTCGCTTGTCAAGCCTTTTGATAATCACGGTATAATTGCTTAACTTCTTCACCCAACAAATCAGAGTTCTCAAAATCAACGGTTATTTTTTGCTCGGCTTCCATTTGCTTTTTTATTTGGTCAGTAAGTGCTTGGTATTGCTCTTTTTTTCCTAATAAGTCTTTTTCCTTCTTTCAACTTTTTTGATATTTGCGACAGATTTCTTTTGCTTCTTCGGTTAAATAATCACTCTGCTCAAAATCAATGGTTAATTCCCCTCCACTATCCATTATCTCTTGTATTTTTTTTAAATCCTGTCTTTGATAATGATCTTTCATCTTTTGTTTCATTTCAGTTTGGCATTCTGGTTTATTACAAACTGGTCGGCTTGGACCAAAGCCAAAGTCGGTGTGGTCACCATTACTTGCGACAGTTACATTGAGTTTTGTTTTTTTGCAGATCATGCATGGTCATTGTTCACGTTTAGACATGATTATAATTCTTTAAATATACCTAAGCACCCAGTGCTAGTAATGTTTTTTTTTTTTTTGTTAAAAATTGGTTCATAGTTAATTATTTTTTGGGTGGGATTTGTATTTGATTTCGATATTGTTCAGTTGGGGAATAGTCAGCTCCGATTATTATTAATTCTTTATCTCCTCTTTGTAATTTTTCCTCATTACCTAATTCTACCAAGCCTAGACGGTGATAAATATTGATTTCTTTTTTTCTAAGTGTTGCATGCTGAACCTTTTTTCCTAACTCAACCTTTTCTTTTGTATTTTTTAACAGTAGAGCAAATGGTTTGTTACTTACTCATTGTTTTTTATCAAGAATTGCTATAATGTTATTTACCTGAACTAACTTCATTGCTTCTTGGGTTCCAAATAAGGATATTTGGATAGGTTCACTCTTTTCCAATTCTTGTTTACGCTTCTCAAAATCATCATCACCCTCTCGGTATTTTCTCAATATTATTTTTTCTAGTTTTACCCCAACATTCCTTCGATAAAGACCACCTTCTATCTCAAATCCTCCTTCGAGTTTTTGGATAGTAGAGTTTACTTTATGTATAACGTAATTAGTAGAAAGTAATCTGATACCTTTTCCTTCTTCAAAAATATTTTTCTTTCCTATTTCTCTTGGGTTCTTGCCTGTATAATTAGGAGGATGGTAACTAATATCTATCCCTCCTTCCACACTAGTAGAACCATCTTCATAAACTTGGGGCATTCAACAGAGACTGAGGGTAGTATTACCGTTTCCATGCCAAGCTAAAGGTTCGCCATAACCATTAATTCATTTGTATTCAACTACTTTTACTTCTGTCCCAATATTTGTCATTTTATATGTATCATAAGCTATTGGTTCTATTTTGCATCCCATGGCAACCTTCATTACCTCATATAAAGCTTGGTTAAGTTCTTCTGGGGTATACTTATTATCTTTATTATATTTAACTTCCACGTGTTCTCCATAAGGTAATAAACCAAGTATCGAATATATACCATCAACTGGCACACTTCTGCCTCTTTTTTTAATGGCTTTAAGAGCTTGACTTAAAGTCATTTCTACTTTATCTTCATCGGTATAGCCATCTCGATAATAAGTTCAACCGACTGGAGTAGCAATTTTTTTAGTTCCTTTATTAAACTCTCTGCGACTAAGATATTTGCCCTCATTAGCATAGCCTAATTGGTTCAGAACTCAAGTTCCCGCCATTGTTCTGCCATCTATTAATTTGTCATCAAACATAAATAAAGTTTGTTTAGACAGTCAACCCTCTTGAAAAGTTCAGGAACGAGTAAACCACTCGGAATTAATAATTTTTTTTAGGATATTTAGATAATCACTTTCTTCACCAACTTTATCGTCTATTGCTATTAAAGTAATTGTTCCATTATCGTAATACTGTCTCATTTTCGGAACTTCTTGTCCTCGCTCAGTTTGCCCTTCTTTACTCTTATCTTGATTAATACATAACTGATCCATTCATAGATAGTCAATACCTAAATGTTCACAAGCTTTAACTGCTTTGGTTAGGGCTTTTCTTCCCAATGGTGTCAAATTGATAAATTTTTCTCCATTATAATTTACTCCATCTTCACATTTACCTCACAAATATGATAAATTAGCATATACTTTTTCTCCTACTAATTTATCAGTTTTTTTTACATCTTGTTTCAATTCTTCAATTCTAGCAACATTTATTTTTCCCCTACTGTTTTTAACGCTGTAAAGTTTAATTGGCAATTCTTTTGTAAACAAAAGTTCATGCTTTCCTCATTGGTTAAAATATACCTCGTTATAATTTAATTCTTGAATATTATAATTTTCTTTGGGTTTTTTAAGATATTCTTTTAATCCCTCAAATTTGGTAGTAAGTTCAGTAAGTTTTTTTTCATACTCGATTTCACTAAGTAATTGTGGCGGTAATAAGGGTGAAATTAGCAAGGGAAGTTTTTTATCTCATTTGACTTCTCTTCATTTATCTAAGTTCCATCCAATATCATTATCAGAATTAGAGTTAAAAGATTGTAATTCTTCTCGAATGTCACTAACACGGGCTTCGGGTCTGGAAAAGGAACAATCTAGGTTTTTCACACTCTTAGGTAAATATTCTAATCCGTGGCTGATGTCAGTATTAGAGATATTTAAATATTCTAATTTAGTGCAGTTTTGTAAAGGCTTTAGGGAGCCAGTAAAGAGATTATTTGATAAGTAAAGTCTTTCCAAATTTACTAAATTACTTAAAAAAGATAAATCTTGGAAGAAGTTATTTTTAAAAATCCTTAATTCTTTTAATTGCCGATTATTACTTAAATCTAAGTTAGTTAAATTATTAGAAGGACAAAAAATTTTTTCTAACTGGGGACAATTGCTAATATTTAGTGAGGTTAGTTTATTATTAGGACAGTTTAATTCTTTTAAATTAATAAAATCCGAGAGATCGAGGTCTCCTTCAAGGCTTTTATTTCAAATATCTAATTTTGTTTCTTTTTCTCTTTCTTCCTGAGTAGGATATTTTTGATTAATATATTTTTGCGGATTGGTTAAAATAATATCAGCCTTTTCACTTTGATTTTTAAATGTTATTTTACTTTCATCTACTTTAAGAGGAATTAATACTTTTACACCATATCCATGACGAAAATAAGTAAAATCTACTAAATCTAATTCACCTTCTAGTTGTTCGTTGATGTATATTTCATCCACTTCACTTCTTTCTCCTTTTTTGCCAGTGTAAGGATTTATACATTCTCCTCGCGGATAATTTCTGTCCAATCATTGTTGTGCGTTTACCATATTTTTTTATAATATTCAAAATTTAGCTCTCTCTCTCTCTCTCTCTCTCTCTCTCTCTTATGTAGGGAGAAAAAGAAAGAGTAATGCATATAGTTCTTTTACCTATATTCTAGTTTTATATAAAGAAAGAAAAGAAACTTTAAATACTACATACAAATAATTAATATGTCTTGGGACACATTTATTAGGAACATTTTCCTTTGTAAGGAAAATAATTCTTACTACCCAAGAAAACTTATCACTTGCATTTTTATCTTTTTGTGGAGAAGATTTGCCATGAAAAATTATTTACAACTATAAAATAATAAATTTAGATTTTTACTTTATCATATTTGCTTATTCGAAAGCAATCCATTAGTCCTAAAACATGTGGTTCATTATCGTCTACGCACCACACTAATTTATAGGCTTTAACTCCTTTATACAAAATAGCAAAGTAATAAGTATACTGATAATTGCGACCATCAGCTCTAATATCGTCCTCACCGTTTAGTTGAGGAAGCAATATTTTTTTAATCAAATCATCAGTAATCAGTTTTTCAGCTAATTCTTGCTCTGACAATTTAACCCCTTTTCTTTCTAATTTTTCTAAGTATTCTCTATTATGTTTTTCATAATAAGGACTAATTTCTAATTTGGTAAACCTTTGCTTATTGATAGTTAAACCACACGAATAAGGTCTTAAATTAGTGGGCTTGGGGGGAAATTTTTTCTCAGGCATGTTTGCTGTTGACTTTCATTTCCAAAGGCATCGATAGCCGTTCAGCAAAGTTTATTAATTCCTCTAAGTTAAGTTTATCAATATGACAAAATAAAATCTTTTCTACTTGGGAGTGGCTAATTCCTAACTTCTTGGCTAACTCCTTTTCCGATAAGTTATTTTCTCTTTCGTAGTGGGCGATGCTTTTACAAAGGCTATATTTGGCTTTTTCAGCAGCCGTGGCGTTTGGTGTTAGGATAATATTAGTTCTCTTGTCGCTTTCTTTTGCTCTTTTAACTACTCTTTCAAATTCCTCGTGAGGCGGAAAAGTAAATTTTCTTGGTTTTTCTTTATTTAATATTTTTTTCATAAGTATTTTTATTAATAATAGATTTCCTGTTATATTCTAATTTTAGTAAATGTGAATTAACTTTGAAGTTACAACTATAAAATAATAAATATATACTAGTTAATTTAACATGTATATTATTTTAAAAATAAACTATTATGAATAATCTACAAAAAGAACTAAATAAAGAAAAAATAATCAGTTGTTGTTATCTCAGCCAACTATTAGAGAGAATTAATAATGCTCTGGTAAAAGAAAAATTAGACTGCTGAATTATTGAATTGATTTGAAGGAATTTAGACCGAGAAGAAAAATTATGTGAAGATTGTGCTTAACAAACTAACTTTGAAAGGAGAGAACAAAATTTTCTGTTCTCCTCTTTGAGAATTAGTTCCTTATAAACAGTAGAATAAATAAGGAAGTGCTTAAATTCTCATAGGTTTTGCTCATCTCTCTACGATTTAGCTTTCACCTAACCCAAAAAATAAAAAAAATTGGGAGAAAGTAAGGAAGTTTTTGGCTCTCTACTAATTTGAAAAGCCAAAAGAAGTAATAAAGGAATTGGTGCCTGCTCTCCGAAATTTCCCTAGAAGCAACTTCTAACTAATTTTTAATTTGCTGTTTTGGTAAATATGTTTGATTAGTTAGATTGCCGCGAGACGGGTAATTTGTGCTTTGAAAAATTTGAACGGAGAGCAGGGAGGGAAAATATTGCTTTCGCAATCATAACCCACCACTAATTATACTGACCAACCTCGCTTATTTTGTCTTTTCTGTTATAAACGATTAGGGCAGCCTTTATCACTTCTTACTTTCTCAACCTATCTTTTTCTCTAAATCTCTTTTTCTTTCCTTCTCTTTCATCTATATTTATTATTTTATATATTTTTGAGTGAAGAGAAGAACGATTTGTCTACGATTTACGAAGAACAATATATTTTCTTAAAGTATGTCTTTTGGTTTTATTAGTAATATTTTCCAAGTATCATTTTTTATTTTTATAATATGCCTTCTCTAAACACTTATCACAGATATATTTGTCTTGGTTCTCTTCCTTATTAGTTCACCAGCCTCAATTATTTTTATCAGAGTATTTTTTTTGAGGAGGAACATATTTAACCTTTATTTCCTTCTGGCACTGAAAGCAGTTTTTTATTAGGTCGTCCTTGTAAATTGGCATGAGTTTTAATTAGAGGTTTTTTTTTGTTTGCTTTCTTTTTCTGTTTTTTTTTTTTTTTTTGTAATAAAAGTTCCTAATACTCCCCGAATAGTCCCCGCGGAAATATACTGCCGCAAAAGGACTTGTTTTTTTTTCGGTAGTGATTTTTTAAATTCTTGCTTATATTTATGAAAAAGTTTAAATAAATCATTATCACAGATATATTTATCTTTATTTGCTTCATCCTCGGTTCAGTAGCCCCAGTTGTTTTTTTGACTATAATTACCAGTAGCTGAAACATGTTTAACGACAATAGGTTTATCACAATGAAAACACTTAATAATTAAAGGTTCTTTTTTTATTTCCATATACTTTAATTTTTATACTTTAATTTTTATACTTTAATTTTTATACTTTAATTTTTATACTTTAATTTTTATACTTTAATTTTTATAAAATAATACTATATAGTAATATGAGAAATAATCAAAAACAAAACATAAAAGAAAACGGGGTAATAAATTATGATTGTCGTTGCTTAGTAAAAAAGTTGGAGGAAATAAATAACGTTATGGAAAAAGAATTTTCACAGGAAGAAGGTTGAAAAATAGTTATAAACCTAATTTATAAACATTTAGAAAAGAATAAGCAATTATGCGAGAATTGTAAAAGTTCCTAAAAAATTGTGAATTATTATTAATACCTATGTTTTCTAAAACCTATAAAATTATGATATAGATGTTAAATGAAAGAAGCGATTTTACTCTATCATAGAAAAGGAAGATTTTCCATGAGTTCGGGAAAAACAATCATTATCGAAATGGATATTTGATTAGTCCCCGAACCAAAAAGACACCTTTACCCTAATGGTCTAAAATTTGGTTGAATTGCTTGTAATAGAGACAATCCCGATGAAAGAATATTAGTTGATTACAATACCAAAAAAGGATTTCACTATCACTGGGATAATGAACCTGTTATAAAATTAGAATGGTCTTCTCTCCTGCAAGCTATTAATTTCTTTTATGAGAAAGTTCAGGAAAAATTTGGTGAATTTCTTTAATAAAACATTTTTTTTAACAAAAATCAAACTGCTATGAAAAAAAATAAAGTATTCATTTTTAAATATGACCCCACTATTTCCTTAGAGCGAATGGGAGGAGAAATGTTGGAAGCCGTGCGAACTGGCAAGCCTAATATTAGCCAACACCAAATCAGTTTTGCTAATATTAAAGACATTACCGAAGAGTTTATTTCGCCTCGTCCCACTCTTTTTGCTTGCTTGGTGGAAAAGCAACCTCACTCGCTTTACCAATTAGCCAAGTTATTAAAGCGGGATTATGCCAATGTTTATAAGGATGTTAGATCATTAGTAGCCATGGGAGTTATTAAGTTAGAAAAAGATGGTGAAATTACTGGTAATTCAGCAAAGCAAAGAATTAAACCTGTTCCTTTATATGATAGAATTGTTTTTGATTTTCAGGTTAAGCAGGTTTTTCCTAGTCAGCAAGTAGAAAGAGTTTCAATGCCCTCCGTCCCGGTCAAAATTTAACACACAACATCTTATCCCCCACTCCCAGCCACCAAATTATTGATACCGCTGGCACTACTGGTTCCTCTTTGCTTTATTTGCGCCAAGCCAACTTAATAATTGTGCCTTTTCGTCCCCACTATCCGGATTGTCAAGTGATTATTCCTTGATTTGAGTCTTTAAATCCTGATTGACAGAAAAAAATATTATTTCTCCCTAATTACTGACGGGATACTAAGGAGCAGCGACAAGGAATTAGAGAAATTAAAGATATTATTAAAAAAACTAACCGCGGAATACTCTTGCCACCTTTGCCGGATAAGCCAGCTCTTTATGGGAAAATTTTAAGTGGGAGTAAAGAGAATTTTTTTGCGGCTAATTCCGATCTAACTAGCCAAGATTTAATGGCTCAAATTATTGCTTATTGCCCTTTTAAAAATTAACTTCTATTATCATGAAAAGAACTTTTAAATTTTATCTAAATCTAAATAGGTCACAAAAACAAAAATTAGACCAAGCCCTGGAACTCGGTTGCTGGCTTCATAATTTCCTTTTGGAACGGTTTAGAGAAAGAGATAAAAAGGAAGAAAAACAGCTCACAGAGTATCAATTGATTAAATCCATTACTGAAATCAAGAAAGAATACTCGTTTCTTAAAAAAATTCACTCTACTAATCTTCAAGAAATAGCCAAATTAGTTCACAAGCTTTGAAAAAGATATAAAAAATTTAAACATTTAGATCCGAAAAAGAAATACCCCAACTTTAAACCAATTCATAGGTATAATTCTTTTGCTTATAATCATCCATTAGAATATATCAAAGGTTGTGGTTATAAAATAGACAATTCTCCTTTATCTAAGAAGAAGGAAACCAGAAAATTAAAACTTTCTCTCGGTCAACAAAATCACCATAACATTTACCTAGAACTTAAAATGGTTATGGAAAGAAATATTAAGGGCAAGGTCAAAACTTTAATCGTTAAAAGAAAGAATGGGAGATACTATGCTTGCTTTTCTTGCGAGGAAATAAAACCTAATCTATTACCGAAAACTAATAAAAGTGTAGGGATAGATGTTAACTTAAAAAAAGAAAATTATGTAACTCTTTTCAGTGGCAAGAAATACCAGCATCCAAATACTTACAAAAAAGTTGAAAAGCAGTTAATTAAGGCAAGTCAAAATTTAAGTAGCAAAGTCCAAGGTTCTCAAAATTGACTAGACGCTAAATTAAAGTTATCAAAAAAGTGAGAAAAGGTAGTTAATCAGTCTAAATATTATTCTTACCAAGTAGCTAATGAATTAGTGAAAAATTATGATAGTATGGTTATTGAAAACTTACAGATAACCAATATGGTTAAGAATAGATGTTTAAGTAAGGCAATCCAACAAGCCCGATGAG